TGGTGTTGTTCATCTTTTAAACTTATTAATTTATAAAATGAGGAAATCAACTAAAAATAGTCAAGTTGTCTAAAAATATTTTATTTAGTAAAAATAACAGTATAAATAACTATTTTGAACTTGAATCAAATTTTATTTACATTCAGAATCTAAAATTATTTTTAATTAAGGAATAGTTAGTTATTTTTAGTAATACTACTAATTAATTATTATTATGTATAAAAGTACAGTTAAATGTTTTCCAGTAGAATAAAATTAAAAAAAGGTATCTTATATATCTCTTCTTCTATCTCAATAAAAATGATCAAATTTTTGTTTATTATTTTGTTTTTATTTCACTGTGTATTTAGGTTATTATATAAATCATAAAACTCAAAAAAAATTATAGAAATTAAAAAATGTGTTTTAAATTATTTAGCTATAAAAAATTTGTTTTGATTTTAAATATCAAGTATTTCCTTAAATTTAGGCAACAAGTTATGGATATTCTATTATTGAAAGTTGTTTTTCTGGGTTGATATTGTGTTATAAGAAAGCTCTTAATATTTTTATTTTATGATGTATGTACAAAGTGTTGCAGTTCATAAAATTAAAATTGTTTTGTTTTACTTATTAACCTTGTGTTTATTTACTCATTTATTTTAAATGTATATTGAGTTGTAATTTTTAATTTAATTTTACGCTTAATGAAAAAAGTGGTTCAAAGTATTATCTTTTTCATTTTCTAGTATAATAATTTCACTGTGTCTTTAATTTAATTTATGGAGTTATTTAATAAAATTATTTAATGATCGATTAGCTTATTCTCTTGGATTTAAAACAATCACTATTCCTTCAATATTTAGTGAAATGTTTTCTTGTTTAACAAATAATATTTTCCTACAAAATGTTAATGTATTTAGGTATTTATATTTTATTTTAAATATACTTATTGTAATTAAATGCATTTAACTCAGGATAATGAAAGACTAGAACTTATACTCTGTATTTTTTCTAGAAGCCACCTTGATTTTTTCCTTTGCCTAGAATTATTTTTGAATAGAATTCATTCTAAAAAGAATTATTTAAAGTGTATTATTAAATTTTTAATTTAATACTATTTATTGTTCCTTCACTACTCCCTCAACCTAATCAGATAACAAAATTAATATTCAATTTACATTTATCATTCTTGTAGCATAATAATAAGGTAATAATAATAATATTAAGGGGAGAAAAAAGACATATTAATCCATACAAAATTTTATTTGTTATGATACTACCACACTGTACTATTACAGGATTATTGAATTAGTTAAAGTTCGTCTATGTTTAATGACTAAGTTATAAGTTATAAATAATTTTTGTTGGAGAAGTTTTGAAAAAAAATATATATATATAATTATTAGTAATATTGATAATAATAAAACTGGCTTACTTTTTTAATAACAAAAATAGTCGATTATCTTTGACATTTTTAATCGAGTTTAGAATAATTGTTTACAGTTAAAGTAATAGGAGCATATATATATATATTAATATTAACATTTCTTTTTAGTATCAAATAAGTGTCATTAATATCATTATAACTTTAAGTGTAATTAATGGTTATAATTTTATTGTTTTAAGCATTTATCAATTGCGCGTGTAAGTTTGTAGCGAAACAATCGAATGTAAATAAAAATCTATTGATACTGCTATAAAATATTTCATGTTAGTTTTGAGTGGTTTCTATTAAGATAGACGTTTGTGAAAAAAAACCCTTATCCCAATAGTTATCAATTACGAGTTAGCTTCAAAGTTTACATAGTTCTCTACTAGACTTTCAGGGCCATATGTATATATATATATACATATAGACAGATTCAAGTGATCAATTTAATTCATATATTAGCACGTATTTAATGTATATCTTAAATTACGTTTTTAATTTGTGGTATAATAATTCAGTCATATGTTTGAAGTTGATTTGGACACATAGTTACTAGACTTCATAAAGAGTCTTTCCTAATTTTTTTTATATTTAACATTTATACGTGTATCTTATTATAAAAAATAGTATTGTATTAATCGGTAATAAATCTAGAAATATCGTTAATTAAACACGGATTAGAAAATTGAATAGTTAGCATGTTTTTTGGTAAGTAGTTCTCAGCAGGGTTACTTCATATAATATCAGTATTAAAAATGAATGAATTAAATAGCTTATTGTACAGTGTATTTATTTCTTCATTGTTTTTTTTTAGTGATATATTTCTTGTACGTTAGTAATTCTTATTTATATACCGCGGAACAATAATATTTTGTATATTATCTCGCACTAATTTGAAAGAATGAGTAAAATAAGTGCTATTTTAAAGCTACCAAAACTGAGGCCCGAAGACTTCAAAATTCAGTCTATTTATATTATAAAAATGTATTTATGTTCTAATAAGGTAAAAATCATACTTCCCGTATAAAAACAAAGTATTTTTATTGAAAGTATTCAATCTCGTGGAACGTGACTAATAATTTGTTTTATCATTATATTAGAAAAGGATTAATTGTGTTATCAACTACAAACATATTAGTCCGTAATAAGTTAATTAATTTGATCAATATTTATAAGTTATTTATTTTTGCCCAAGTTATAATTTTTTTAGTTACTATAATAAATGAATTTTGTTGCATATATGTTTTGTAATATTGTAAGTAAATATGTTTAAAAAAAATTAAATAGCGAGTCGAAATTTTGTTGCTTTTGATACTAAGACGTTTTAATTATGATTAATCTGATGTCATGCATATAAATAAAAAATAATTAATAATATCTAGTCTTACCATCATTTTATGTTTTGTAGATGACGAAGAACAGTTTTATCTTCAACTATTGTGAAATTTGTACTTGGTTTTTTCATTCATTCAGCTCTCTTTTGTCCTGTTTTTTACTATAGCTATGCGTTTCATTTGTGTTGTACAGCGTGGATGTGTTTTTTCTCATTATGATCATTAATCATAATATTCACACAAATACTGATACCTTACAAAAATATCGTAAAAGGAATTTTGTGTAGATTTTAATAGGATTTTCGAGGTGTCGAGTATCCAATAGATATTTGTCACCCTATACAATAATGTTTATTTTTAATAAACTATTTTTGTTAAAATTAATATTTGATGTTGATTAGTTAAAAATGTAGATTATATAGAAATAAATTTCAACTTTTAAGTTCATAATTTGTGTACATTTCTTTTGAAGAACAATATAAATGTTAAAACTGCCCCTATAATAACTAGTTAATTTATATAAAAGTCTAACCAATTAAATATTAAGTTGTTTCAATTAAGAAGAATCTAAATTAATACAGTATGGCATAATTAAACTGATTAATTTGAGTTAAATTAAATTAAACATTGTGGTATTGTTATAATTGTATTTTGAAAAAAGTATATATTTATTTTAGTGAACATTTATTTTTATTATCAAAATAAAAAATAAAATTTTAGTATCGTGGGAAGATTAGAAAAATTAATTTTTATTTAGGTTTTGGCTTCTTAAATATTAACCACAGAAATATACTTTATCAATCATTGTAAAAAAACTCTTTATTGCATGTATAAAGCATAATATATGTTTGATATAAACTGCTTAAAAAATTTTCCAATCTACTGCACATAACGGTAGTTAAAGCCACACTGATCTCTTTTATGGCAATATCATTGTGGCTTGCAGTGAATAAAATGCATTTTATTATTGATCTTTTAAAGAATTACTTTACCTTTAATCGCTTTCAAGAATTAATTCATAAGACAATAGTTGTCACTATTGTTCAAATCAACAAATTCATTGTATTTAACATTGTGTCATTTTTTTTAGTATTAAGAAAACCAATAGTCTTGATTTTAATGAACCTGCTGCCCTACATAAATATCCGGGGTCATCACATGTCTTTTTAATAATTCTCTGCTGCTAATATGCTTTCATTTTTTGAAAAATATACTTTTGTTAATTTATATTTTATTGACGATTTATTGTTTTTTTTTATAGAAACTAATGTATGATAATTATCCCCTAGTTATTACTTTTTATTTTAATAATGAAGATCGCTAAACAAATAAGTATTTGTAAAGTGACTTTTGTAAACGGTTACATGTACTAATGTAAAAACTTTTTTAGCCTAATAATTGTTAGAATTATTGTTTTATTGAACGTAATTTTTTTTCTTGAAGTTTATGTACAATATCATGTACCGATTTAATCTGTTAATCCTGAGACTCTTTTCAATATAATGTTTTTCACGAAAAAATTATTTCATTTTACACGCTGAACACGTTCTTAGCTATTTAAATTTATATTCACAATCGTATAATAAGTAAAGAAGTTATTATTTAATCGGGTAGCTTTAATCAATATGATTGAAATCCGTGATGGTGGCACAGAGTTTAGTTAAACGCTTGGGATTCGGTCGTGAATGAGTCATCAGCCGCACTGTTAAATTTGTCAAGTTGTATACAAGTTTCTAATGATACAGTACTGAGTAAATCTCGTCTGTTGTAATCTTTGGTTTCACTTTGATACCGTTAGTGTGATTTTTGACGGATATGTTGTAAGATTACGCGACGATTAATTCGGAGTATCTTTTCGAACAGCCTTATGATAGATTGGAAAAAAACGACGGTAGTAGCGGACTAACGCTTTTGGCATACACACTCATTTTAATGTTATTCCCCCATCGCCATCAGTTGCGACGGCAGTTATTATAAAGCCGACACATTCTACGTACCTCCCCCGACCCGGTGTGCCGGTGTTCCTACCGCGGCCGCCTTGTAGTATTATTCAAAACTGCTATTTCTCTCTCCTGTCCGCTCTCAATCGTCGAGTGAGCGCGGGCTGGTGTTGTTCATCGTGTGCTCCGTCATATTGTTATTTGTGCCGTTGCCGTAAGTTTCATTTGAAAATCGTGACCGGTATGTGTGTAAATCGAAACTCATTTGTCACATCTTTCCCTTATGAACTCTTTGTCGATTAAAGTGCATTTATTTATTTTTTTATGAAAAAATGAATGATTTAATAGATTGAACATTTTTTAAAAGTGTATAGTTTTAATTCATAAAGCTATCGTAATGATTTTGCAATGAACAGTTTTTTGTTTTTAGGTTCAATTAGGTTTGGTAATTTAAATAATTTTTCGGAGTAGTGTTTATTTAAAATGTCTTTACCAAGTTTTCTACTGAGCTAATGATTTAAAATTTTAGTGGCGTTTATTAATTTTTATTTGATATCCAAGTGATAAAATCATCATTGCCGTTTTTACTATAAAAACGGCAATGTCTTTTAACTTTAATGACATTCAAAGTAACCTTGTCACCGCTGTTTATACACCTATTGTATTCGTGGACAGCGGTGTGTAATTAGCGAAATTATTCCTGTTAAAATAATATAACAAAAGTAAACCTATCTATTATCAACTCTCATTCACTTATCTAAATAATAATAAACTTATAATAAATAATACTTATATTAAAGAGAGGGAAGAATGGGAAAAATGAGTTTTCGGATGCACAACTATTTTTATTCAAAAATTATAGCTATTTTTAAAAAATTTTATCTTTATTAAATATTATATGTTAGATATGGCAATAATTCAAAAGTGACGTGTTGACTGTTAATTTGGTAGTTTAGTGGAAACTTGTGGGTAGCTGTTTTCATTTGCATTTTTTAAAAGCAATTAGCATGACAAAAGGTGGATCATCGCCTGTTTTAGTGGAAAATGGGAACAAATCCTCTGAACCTATTAAAAAGCGCGGAGGGTTCTTTAGCGGATCGTTTAGGCGTCGTCGCAACCCCGATCCCAAAATCACCGATACCATAATCATCAACGAAAATGTGTCATACAACGGCAACAACAATAATAAAAATAACATCAAAGGCGTAACCTCACCTGTTGTGAATGTACAACCACATCAAGTCGTGGACAACAAAAAGCCTCCTTTGCAACAAAAGCAGCCCTCGACAGTTATAGCTTCTGATAAAAAAACGTCTTATCAGAAAAAGGATGAGCTTAAAAAACAGCAACAAGCAGCCCTTGCAGCCGCCGCTGTCGAAGCAAACAAAAAGAAAGCGGAACAGAAAAAGACAGACGATCCGAAGAAAGCCGTAAAAAGAGGTAAACAAACGGTTTTTGTTAGCGCGATGCTTTTTCCGTATTAGGTACCAGTCCTCCGTTTACATCTCAAAGTCGTTCATAAAAATCGTTTCTCATAAGTTGAACGAACTTGTTACATTTAGTCATTGCATTTTTAAAATAAAAATAACTGTTGCGGTGATTTATGACGATGGAATTGTTTATGAATGTTTCTTATTTAGTTTAAGTTACTTTTCAGAGCATAAATTTAGCTTGAAAATGTCTCTAAAACTCGTCTAGTTCACCCCATTGAAAGTTATTTAAATGCACGAGCAGCTAATATTAAATAGTATTAAAACAATTAGTATTAATATTTATGTTACTATTATTATTTTCAAGAGCGACTATTTAACATGTTTTAGTCAGTAACTTCTAGCGTAATTAAACAGCTAGGAACACTAAAGCCAACCGCTGATATTCGTGAAAACAAAAATTTTTAAGTTATTATGGAATGGGATGGTAACGTGTTGTGAAAATTTATTTTCAATAGCTATTTTAATTTTATCTTAATGAGAAAACTTTTTGTATAATGGATTTCTTCTTCCTAAGAATAGTTGGAATATGTCTGTTAAATAGTCGAATTTTAGTATCGTACTCACGTACACTATTATATTATACGCTTAACGAAGACCTGCAAACGTGACGGTACCTAAAAAACAATACGTATGTAAAACGGTATCCCCTCTTATTTTGCACTTATTTTATTTATGATTGGAGCTTTTATTAAGAAAAAATAACATATGTTCATATAACATGTGTACCACGATTGCAGCTCATTGTATCATATCAGTAGTTGTGTAATGAAATAATATGTACAATAAAAAAGATGATAAAATCTTTTTAAGCCAACTGCAATTACATGCTTAAATAATAACTATTTTTTTTAAAGTGAAAGTAGTTACAACTGTCGTAGTGATGTACCTTACCAAATGGGGTGTTTTGTGTAGAAATTTTTACTTGTTGTTTTTTTTTAAACCACATAACCTCGCATATTGTTCCGAAATTAAGTTAAGTTTAATTTCAAAAAATGTCCAACCGTTTTGTGTTTTAAAAGTTAAATTCAGATAATTCATTAAATTCTGAACCAAACGGGATTTATATGAATGAATCGTTATAAAATATTAGAATGGTTATTTATGAGGAGGTCTCTGTTGAGACCGAGATAAAAATATATTTACTTTTTAGGCTTTCTGATTTTTATGTCCAAGGTCGTATTATTTTTTATGCTTAGTGTTAATTTTCTCAAATCCGCCATGGTTTTATATATTCAGTGTATCTATTTTTTTTACTTATACCCCTAAATTTACAAAAAACAACAGATTTTATCCAGTTTGTGTCAAGGACGAGTAATTACTAGAATGTATTTCTTTATGGTGAGCATATTTTTTTTTAAACGAAACAGTATTACATATTATGGGTAATCGTAACGAAGAAAGTACTGTAGTAGAACGCAAGTCATTCGATACTCATCTGAAACTCGAATAATCAAATATCCAAAACTGAAAATTGTTTTGAAATGTTTTCTGTATTTTTTTTATTTTTATTATTTATCATTATAAAAAGATATCTATGAGAACATTTTTATAAATTTTGAAAATTGTTCTATTTATTTTTTGGTTATCAGTCGTTAGTCGTTCCGTCCGTTTAAATTGTCTCACTTAAAAAGAAAACCTTCAACATCCGTTTCGGTCTCCCTGATTTTCATTCTCAATATTTGTTTTTTTATGTATTTTCGATTGATTATGTACAAATATTTTTTAATAATATTTTGAATTTTAGGACAACTTTATCGCATATGACGTATTTTAATAATTTTCATGTTTTTTACGTTTATCCCCGTCCACCTGTAGTGCACCTCTCGTCATAATGATGAACGCCAAGGCCGTTCGTGACTCTTATCTATTTTAAAAAACTGTTTGATTTATATCGCCCTAATTTAGAGCACTGCGGTAATGATTTTATCAATTTTAATGCGTCTGCACGCAAAATAAAAAATTGTAGTTTTATATGAATTAGTTTTCACTGCAATTGTGACGAAATTTTTAATGCTCGATGAAGTTATAAATCGAAAAGAAAAATTTGTTCTTCTCTTTGTAACAAGCATTTCGCAAAAAAAAAAAAAGCGACATTTGTATTTTTTTCACTTAAATTTTTATTTGACTATAGAGAGTTATTTCTTCAAGAAATGAATGCTCAATTGAGATTAACCATCAGATAGAAATATGAATCATGATTAATAAACTCTAGACGTTTAAAAAAGAAAACATTTAAGTCTCATTGATTACATGATGTCAGATGTATTGTAGTGCTATTAGTAATTTACCCTTATACGTTAATTAATTGATATATAGACATTTGTTCCCAAATTTCAACACTATATTTATAAATAATCAAAATTTCGGTTTTCCTAGATTCTAAATTTGTCAAGTTTTATTAAGTTATCAGAATTAGGAACCTATTTTTATTCCTTGTTATTTATGAAAAAGCTCAAGTCTATAAAAAACTATAATCATAATTTTATAATAATTTGTATAAACCATAAGGTTATTTTATAGTTGTCGGTCAAAATTTCGTTATTGATTTTAATGAATTGTTTTAAATAACTATAATTTTAATGAAATCTGTAATACAAAGTATTTGTAGTATTTGAATGATTACCTCGTTATTATGTGTGTATTGCACACATCTGCTTAAAAGTAAAACCTATATTGATTATTATAACAATTAGTAATATTGTAAATTTACTTTTTGCTAGTTCCATTTTAATGCATATTTGCTGGTATTTTTTCGCGCGCACTTTCTCATTAAATGATTATGTCATGCTTACATGGAGTCCATGTGTTCGGTGTGTGGTTGTAGTTAACGGCTTATACATTCGCCTCGAGTGTACAGCGTTGGCTGCAGAATTTTGTGTATTACACTATGATGTGATGCAATGTAATAGGATTTTAACGCGCTCTTTGCAAATCCAAAAAATACATTGAATAATTGTACAATATTTTGCTGATTGACTTAAATAAATTAAATCTCTTTTGATATTTTACCTTGTTCATAACAGTGCATTGTTTTATTCGTCACCGGTTTTTAGGTAAAAGTATTTAATACTTTTTCTCCTTAATCAAAAGTATTCGTGACCTATTTTTATTACTTGTTTAGGTCTGATAGTAATCTTAATAGTTTTGCTATTAAAGGTTTTTATTTTACTATATATTTTAATAACAAACTGCTAAAGCCTATTTTTTATGTTTGTGGTCTTATACCGGAAATATATAATTTGTAATAGTACAATTTTTAATTTTCTTAATGGTATGCTAAAAGGGCGTAAGCTTACTATTTTCTTAAACTAGTGTAACTTTCTATGCTTTTCATTGAGTTAATAGAGCAAGATATTTATAACAATCCATCATACATATCATGATAATTTGAAAGTTTCTATAAATTTTCATTCAACGTTAATAGAGAATGCATTGCATTCAATTTATCTAAAAACTAAAAATCTACTTATTAGGATTAATCAATTTATTATATTTATCAAATTCAATTAAAAAAAAAAATACATATCATTATTATACTTTTATCTGTGTAAAAACTTCAAGAATGTAATAGTTATCAATGTGACTCTTTTTATAACTAACACAGTCTAAGAAAAAAAAATAATTGTGAAATTAGTAATCTAGCTTTACTAGTATAGAGAAACTTAATTTTCCCATTGTTAATAAAATCTCACTATAAATCTGTAGCGTTACACGTACACTTTTATTTTAATAAAATAGCAACTAAGTTAGTTGCTATCTGTTAGTTAAGTGCTAATGCGCTAAGTGCTAACTCTTTCAAAAGTTTAATGGGTAATTTTTTTATTGTTTAAAATCAAAATAGATTTTAATTTAGTGATGAATATTTATTTATAACATTCAAAAACTCGTGCGTGTATACCAAACAAGTATTATTAAAATTTTATAATTGCTTCCATTTAATCCTATTGTTCTCTTTGAAAAATATTTTCTCAGCTGTTTTTTTTTTTTAATTTTATCAATGGATAATTTATAATTGATTAATTTCGAATGAGTAGTAACGTTTAAATACCAATGATTATTTTTTTTTGTGTTATATGTGAAATACTTTTTATTATACTTAATCTAATATATTAAATTAATTTATTATAATTTGGTAAATTGCTTGGATTGATTGAGTTGCCTCCGGTTTAGCCTCTACTCGTGTTTTTGACGCCAGTAAGCTAAAAATAACGTATGTCCTGTACGTCCTGGTGTGTGCAGTCATCAGCATCTATAAATATAATATGCATGTAATTCAACGGTAGTTGTTAGGCGGCTAGTAGAATTGACGGGCCTGTATGAATTTAACCGCGAGTTATACAAACGGATATCCTGTTTTGTCGCCCCTTCATTCTGTGTAAAAACCTTACTGCTTGCACCTTATGACAATCGGCGGATTAATAAAAAGTTGCTATTCGTTTCACGTTTACTTTATTCTGTTGTCGAAGGTAATTAAACCCTATGCAGGCGCCAAAACTATCGATTGATATCATTTTTAAGCCAAGTGGTCTACCAGACCACTTACATTTTTGAACAGAATTAAGTACTACTTTTGCACATTTTAACTTAGTTTAACTTGTATAATTTTGAAATTAACAACGAAAATTAATCAATATTAACGAGTTCTTTTTTTTTATTATTTATGTGAATCTGATAATTATCAAAATTTTATGTAAAACACGGTATTGTACTACAATGGCGCTAATGTCATCCATAAAATGAACTGCATAGAAACACTATCTTTAGATAAGTTTTTTAAGGCCAATTTTAGGATCACAGTTATTTTAGTTCTCTTCTTTTACTATAGGGTTATTAAAACAGTGACATGTCTCCTAAGGTCTTAATAATTAATTTAACTACCTATCGCATAAATGTATTTGAAATACATAAGAGTGTCTGTTTCTACCGAACTAGTATAATAATGATTTTATTGATATGATTTGTTTTCGTTGGAAATAAAGGATGAGATAATTCGTCGATTTTTTCACATATTCATAATTTAGAGATTAATAGATGAAAGATTATATCCGAAATAAAAGGGTGGAGAATTTATCTAAGAATAACATACAGTTCATATATTATATAAATAGTAGACTATTCTAATTTAGCAATGGGTGCATTAAGAGATTTTTCAAGGCCTATACTGATATGTGTAGTTAATGCGACTAGATATGTTGTTAATAAAATAAAGCAATGGTTATGGTTATCTTTAATCGATTGCTAATATTCCCTGTAATATTAATCATTTTTACGAGCTTTTCTTTTAACATCGCATAATTTTTTTATAATTAACTATCCATTTAAACGTATATAATTGCGTTTGATAATTTTTGTTTTTATTCACTCTAATTATTATTATTGTTATGTGTAATTCACATGATCCATCAAAAGTCATTACTGCTGCCTTTTTGATTTTTTTGTTCTTTGTATGTATTATTGGAGATTAGTTTTTTTTTAGTATCTTTTAGATTGGTTGAAAGTATTGCCAAAATTTAGTATTTTTTGTAAAATTGTATCATTAGAGATAGCCATAAATATTTATGAGCATTATTACTAAGTTATTCGAAATAATTAGACAAAAATATTATTTTATTTAATACAACTTAAAATAATAGTTCTGTGGACCTTGTCAAATTGTATTTACAATTGTATTTAAAGCAATTTATTATATTGTTTTTTAAATCTGTAAATGAATTTCAGTTAAATATTAACAATGAATACTAGATAAGGATAGTGTTGTTTTAGGCACAAGATTATATAAATGTTAACACTATAAATACTTATTATTCTTTATATATTGAAAATGGTTTAAATCACTTTGCGTCAGAGTCGATATAACTAATGATTATACTTTGCCGCAGCCGATTAGAAGTATTGTTAAATATCCCACAAAACAATATTGCCTATTAATAGTAAAAAATATATTTACATTTTACATAGTATACTAAGTAAACAATCATTATCGCCGTAATGTGTTGTTCTTGGCTTCACGCAAGTAAACATTTTTGCCTTAATCGATTGAACAAGTGTATTTATTTATCCGGTTTCTGTAATTGCTTTAGTTTAGCATTTGAAATTCTAAGTATTAAGGTGTAGTGACTCGAGGTACGCAAAGAATTTTATATAATAAAAACTAAGACGAATCGAAACGTATTACTAATTATTTTATTTTCAATTCATTAATGAAGTTGTTATGAACTTCAAAATGTGTCAAAGTAATTAAAATTTTCTTCTTATTTAAAAAAGCAATTTAATCGTATCCAGTTTTTATTTGCTCTAGTCGAATTGGTTTGTAATTCGGACAAACGAGCGATGATCATTGGAATGATCCAATCGCTATTTCGTTATTTTTTTTAATACCGGTGTCGGTTGTTTGAATAGTAGCCGAAACCCGTAAGCAATAGCGTGTGTATTGTAAACATCCCATGGTATTTTAACCCATTATTAGCAGTTGAGAAGTCTGGCAGAACTATGTAATTATTCTCATTCGGCGGATGGCTTACTTCGAAGCGTGATACTATGTGGAAAAACGTTTCGTGGTTTTTCTTGCAACTTCCTCAGTGAGAGATATTTAGAAAATATCTACTTTGGAAAAAAAAAACACTAGCGCTGGTGTTACTGTTGTAAATGATAATCGTAATAATATTGAAATGATTGCGAACAAGGTCGCGCGCAACAATTTTGACGAGCGCAGACAATTACCATCCTTATCGTTTCATTAAGCGAAATTATGATGTTTGTCGAGCATACGGCCGTGTCTTCGAGATTTNAATGATTGCGAACAAGGTCGCGCGCAACAATTTTGACGAGCGCAGACAATTACCATCCTTATCGTTTCATTAAGCGAAATTATTATGATGTTTGTCGAGCATACGGCCGTGTCTTCGAGATTTGTAAAGATTAACCAGATGCACGTCTAAAACAATATTACTTAAAAAATGAGAAACCAAACGATATCGTTCATGTTTTTGTGCGTCACATTTTTGTTATAAGAGGGACACATTAATCATTTGTCGGGGAAAAATATTCTAGGCGATATGCCAAACGCCTATCCGATGTAATACAGCACACGTTTACGTTCCGATGACCTCTCTATGTGTTAGTGTGTACATTGTTCAAGGCAGAAGCTCAACATCAGCAAATGAACACGCCCAGGCCGCTGTCCGAACAATTGGTTTTGATTTAATATGTCGCGCCTATGTTGCAACATACCTGCCGCTTTAATGAACACATTGACTTCTAAGCGTTCATTGTTTTACAATTGGTCATTTTCGGTTAAAAAGTTTTTAATTTGCTTTAAATATTTATTTTCGTAGAAAATCATAAAATAAAGACGATCTTTCAATAAGCTCTGTTCAGTTTATCGCGTCAGGTAAAATATAATTTAAGAAATATTTCTCTAGTAGTTATGTGTGAAATGTGAAGGTCAATTTTTGAAAATGTACTCTTTGACAATCATTTTCTATGAATCGTATGTCTTGTATAATGTAATGTCATGTTTTACAGATTACAATTTGTACACGGTTGTTTGTATTAATTTCGCGTGGTATTAGTGGCCAATTTTCGCTTTGAAACGTGTATTGGAGGTTATGAAAAAAATTATTCGACATAGGCTGTGATATAGAGCACAACGTGTACCGGTATGTAATATCATCGTGGAAAACGTAGTGGTATTAATTTTACTTAATAAAAATGCCCGTGTTTTTTAAGTCACGGCTGAACGATCGCCATCAACGAACTACTGCATTTTTTGTCTTGCTGTACAATGTTGTCGATAGAGACGAGCAGCCATAATTACTAGACCATGGGTGTAGCAGTTATTTTATGATGGTAGCAGTCACCGTAGTAATAAAAATGCGTCTAACGTCTCATATGTCCACACACTGGACAATTGATTATTTTAAGTATATCCGAGAGAAAGCAGATGTCTCCTGTTTGAATTTGTACTTTTGAGTAACATGCAAATGATAAAATCTTGAATTATTTTCCTAGTGTTCCTTTATTTTAGCTATAAACGTTATCCGAATGAGAGACCAAATATAGACTGTTTCGGGGAAATATATGCTTAAGATTTTATTGTGTTCACTTTTAGAGCCCACTGGATAAAAGTTAGAATTAGTTTTGAATTTCATCCAAAATCGTGTGTCTAAGAGAACTCTGTTTGGGAATTCTCAGACTACTCATGTAGTTGGAAATAGTTAATTTCATTTTTTGTAACGATTAAAAATGCTCACGTATTTACAATCTATACAGAGTGATTGTTTTATAGTTGACCACTAAATTTTTTCTAAAATGATAATAATGTTGAGAATTTATTTTTTTAGTTTTGTGTAGAATTATTTATTTTTCGATTTATAATTCATTAAATATTGTTCAGGTACATAATTTTTCAGACTGATCCCTTATTTTGTATAAGGTCACCTACTTTTTTTTTAATCGTAACATAGATATTTTACTAGCTTAAATGTAAAAAAATGGTTGGTTGATAACAAATTTTGAATCAGTATTTCGAGTAATTAACATTTTTTAATAAAGACTGGAGCCTGTTGTATTATTATCATTATACATTAATCTGTCGCGTTTCTCCCATCTAGATATAAAAATGTTCATAATTTCACAAATAATAGTTCAAAATTTGCTGTTAGCCATTCATTTTCTTAGTTAGATCATATTCTAATATTTAAGCTAGTAAAATATGTATGTTGCCTTTAAAAAAAATCAAGTTGGTACTTTTATAAGCAAAAAACAGAAAATTGTTTAAATTATTATTTTAAATAAAATTTAACGGTCAATGAAAAATCAATCAGTTTTTTGTATTAACTATATATTATGAGCATGTGCACCGTACTTTTTATTTTTCCGCTGTTATATTCATTAATAATGTTGGTCATATTAGTTTACAAGAATTTTCTCGTGCAAGTTTTTTTTTATAATTATGTCTTTTTCAAATTATATTTTTGATGTTAGAGGAATAATTGAGATTATTTTTATTAAATTTTCAATGAAATTATCTTGTTTATAGGTTTTAAACAAATTATTTTATTTTGCTTGTAACATTTGTTTTTTCTTGTACGCCGTAATATTACATCAGAGACTTAATGTCTACTATCGTTTCATTGTTCATTTAATGGGTTATCGATATTATTGTTTATGATTCGCGTATATTAGATTATAAACAATTTAATTATTCATTGTGTGTATAGTTTAAAATAAGAACGCTCACACGGAGACATTAAAAAAATTTACTTCCGGCGTGTCAAAATTAGATTTAGTAATATTTTTCTGACGATTATTCTTCAAGGTTACCTCAGTTATCAAAGCTTTTACGTGGATACAGTTAATTAACCTAGAAATCTATATTTTTATTATTTTTTCGGGTTTTAAAAGTTCCTACAAATTACTTTGCGAGCTTCTATAATCACAATGTAAGTATGCAGGGTGATAAATATGATAAATGAAACCACTTAATTGAAAAATAAAAATAATGGTAAGAATCTTTTTTGGAAAATTTTTTTTTCTTTAAGTTACACGTTTTATCAATTTATCATAATTGAAAAATTGAAAAAAATATGCAACTAAAAGAAACCAAAAATATATTTATATATATATTATTATTATTATTCAAAATTATTCATGTTTATTTTCGATTAAACATGTAGCTCATGATAAATTAATCACCTTTTATATTAAATCCATATATTACATCTTAATTAAATTTTTAAGTATACAAAAAATCTTTTTGTTTTTTGTTGATGTCTAGTAGTAAGTTAATCATTATGAAAATTCTCTTGATGAATATAATATGGCGGTTACAGTGATATCATACAACAGTCTAAAGATATATCTCCCCATCGTGTTGTTTTGCTGGATTAATTTAAAAATGAGATGTTTGTCGTGGACGCCTTTTAAATGTAGAGATTAATGTTAAAAATAAAACGTCGCCATTCTATTCAAGTGGTTTATTCCCAACGAACAGCAGAAATGTTTTTTGTAACAATATGTTTTGTTTCTTATCAAAATGTCACTGTAATAGTATACGTAGTATGCCGGAGAACTAGTATCCCTGAGATAACCGGCATATTTATGTTGTTTAAAATCAGAAGTTTAGCAACGATTGTGTATTTTTATTTTGGCCATATGCGTATTCATGTATAAGAATTTGTTTGGCTGAGTATCAACTGTCTACGTATTCCAATAGCTGATATTCCACTACTGCGTCTGAGACTTATTTTTGCTTTATATGTAAAGTATTTTAATTAAAAATATTTGATGTAGAGTTCCAATAAAATAATATAAAATTTAAAGCTCAAAAATGCCAAGGTCCAATACTGAAAGATTTAATATTAAACAAATTGTTAAGTCACGGTAAATATTACTGTTTTATTAGTATGGTATTAGTAGAAAAGAAATTAGGCGGAGTTACTTTATTAGATTCAAGTGTAAATAATAAACTATTTTTACATTTCAGTTTTAATATAAATTGATTCTAAAATTAATAATAATTATTTTATTTTGTTGTAAGGTAAAACATATTGCAGTGGTTGCAAAAAGAAGTGTTCCGGTGAAGTACTAAAAATCAAAGGCGATAAATATTTTCACATTGAATGCTTCAAGTGCACAGGTGAGTCTATGCTTATCTATTGTTCCAACATGGTCGCAATAACTGTTAAAAATCCTTTAAAATAAACACTATTATAAGAAACGCTTCGATGCAAATCTGTAGATAGTGTTTAATTTTAAGAATTTGGTAGATTATTTCAAAAGCAACAATAACTCTTATTCCCTTAATTTTATCTCGATTAGTTATTTGATTTATAATTATAATATATGAATACATAATAATTATAGTAATTAAATTTAGAATAAAATTGATTTTCAATAATTTAATATTGTAATTTTTACTGAGATAGTATAAAAATAATAAAGTAGTTGTATATTTCTTTACTTTAAATGCGTATAAAAATTTAAAGGGCTTGATGCAATACTTTTCATTAAAAAATGTTTGTTACTTATAATAAAGTTATAAGTTTTATACACTGGACTACAAGGGACCTACCTTCATCAGAAACAAAAATATACCTTTTCTAAATCAACTTTTCACATCGTTTTCAAATGTGCAATTAGACTTTTTCTATCACTACTAAGTTTTAATATTATTACTTATTATTAAAAAAAAATTAAAAACAAAAAAAAATCGTCTTAAATTAATACTAATTTTGATTATTAATATGTGAAAAATAAGGAAAATAACATATTTAACCTATTTTTTTAATCCTTTAAAGTTGATTTTTGTGAAAGTTTATAATAAAAAAAATTAATTTAATACCATAACTTTTAGCTTAATTTGCAAGTTTGAAATTGACATCATTAAATAGGAAATTTTATGAGAATTAAAAAAATTTAATCGTTAAGATTAATATGCATTCTGTAAATTTTATAATTACTAGTAAATTTATCAAAAAAGCTCAATATTTTTTTCAATTTTTATCGTAATAGATAACTTCAAAATAATAGTAATTATTTCCTAGTAACTTTTAGTGTTTAAAAAGATTGTACAATTGAAATATGAACTGAATTAATTTTAATGATTTACTTTAACTAAAAAAAACAATAAAAAATAAGTTGTTAAAAAGATCTACTCAATGGAGCGTATTATAAAATTTCATTATAATTGTAAAAATGTATTGTTAATTCAGGAGAAACTAACAATCATTTTTTTTAGAAATGATTTATATAACAACATGTTACCAAAAAAATTGGAATATTATAGTCTAGTAGTAGCACACACAAATAGAGTAAAAAAATTATTAAATTACAAAGTAAAATGATTTAATTTTGTAGTTGAAACCTATCATATCAAACTTGATTCGTCAATAAATACTTTGATAACATTAGAAATGAATGAATTTAATTGTTTGTATGGAAAACATGGGATAAGTAGCTGTTTAATCATTTGACGTATCGTTGAAAAAATACCCTCTCAGCTTTGCATCGAAGCTAAAACCTAAAATATAGTAAAATAATTTTAATATGAATAAGAAATTTCTTCTTGAAATTTGATAAAAATCAAATGAATTGAAAATTTATTCTAACTTAAAAAGAATTAAGAAAATAATGCAAAAAATTCCTTGTCATACACGGATTAGAACCTTTTACCCCAAGCGCGTAAAACACAAGTGTTACTCGGCAACCGTATGTCGCTTCCGTCGACTGAAAAAAATAGCAATTTAAGATAGTTCGAATTTCAAAGTTATTTTTCTCGACTTAAAAAAAAAATAAAAATAAGTTTAACTTTCTATGCTATATCAATTTGTTTTATATAATATTTATAAAATCAGTGTACTCCCCTTGTCAGGTATTTTAAAATAAAATACAAAACCCAGAATTTTAACACAAAAATAGCATATTTTAGAATACGGTAGTCATTAATCCCATGAAGACAAATCCTGAGATCAAATTTTTTGTTTTCAACTTAAAGTATATTACATAAGATTTAATTTAAAGTATATATAAAAGTGTCAGTATTTCTGGGACACTTAAAAAAATTAAACTAAAAATGTCCTAGTTTCAATACGCATGTTAAAAGTTTTGACCACCCTTGTATAAAGGGATAGGATGCGATTTAAAAAAAATGTGTCAGATGAAAGAGGTATATAACAATTATTTATAAAAAAATAATATTGATCCATATATTTTTCCAAAAGTTAAAGCAATATAAATTTAAAAATATAAAATATAAAATCTAGAATTTTTTCACGGAAATCGTACGTTTTTCTTTAATTTTGATGTCCGTTTTCACTATGAAGACAAGTCCACAGGTCAAATTTTTTTTTTTTTTTTAAATAAAGTATATTACATAAACTTTAATTTAAAGTATATATAAAAGTGTCAGTCTTTCCGGATCATTTTCAAAAGTTAAGTTGAAAATGTTGCCATTTTGAAATCCTATCTAGGGGCTGGTAAAGCGTCAAATGTTGACAAAAATATATCAAATGATAGGTAAATACCTAAGGTATCTATAAATAAAAAAATTATATTGATTCGGTCATCTTTCAAAAAGTTATGGCAGTTTTATGTAAAAAAAAATTTAAAAAATGTTTAAAGTTAGCGATTTTTAAATTTGCAATTTTTTGAGGATTTCGCCCGTTTTCGGAGAACGAGGGAATTTTTTTTAATTTTTGAGAGTAATGTCTTTGACTAAAGATTTGTGATCTTTTGACGTATTGCTCATTAAAATTGGTCCAGCGAAAGCTGAAATTGAGCGTTCACAGACAGAAAAAATAAAAAAAAATAAAAAAAAACACATCATAGTAAAATTAATACCTTCTGAGCTTCGCATCGAAGCTAAAAAAATTGATATTTGATACGAACTCTTGTGCTCCACAATACCGTACATTATTTAGCGACCGGTTGTCAACGGAGGTGTTCGTACCGCTAACGGCTGTTTTTCTGATATTTTGCTTATGTCCGCACTGTGATACGTGACGTGATGATCAACGGTTGGTTGTCTTCCCCAGTAACGGCTATTTGCCTTATAGCTTATGTATAGTGATTATATTAAATAAAATGTACAAAATATGTTGATAACCAAACAAGTCGCCAAGCTAAGTTTAATTATTAATAGTCTATTTTAACATAGCTCTAAAATGGTATCACAACTTATAGAGCTGTTTTTTAAGTAGTTTAATGGAGTGTTTTTGTTAAGATTTTTATATTAATAAACAAACCATGTTATTTATTTGTTACTTTATCAAGCTCTGTCAACATAAACTAATATAATAACTAGATAATATGCAACGTTTTATTAATTTTATTTAAAACTCCACGATAAAAGAAAATACTATAATCCTGTGTTACGTCAATAAATTTGTAATATAAAGAAAACCCATTAAAAGCATACGTATAGAATAAAAAGTTTTTATCCTTCATTTAATTTTAATGGACTGCTTCTTGGGCTGTAAAATTACATCCTTTAAAATCGTGTACTATGTATATAATGCTACCTGCATTATTTAGTCTATGAACTTAAAAGGCTGTAGTGTCTGATTTCAACGGCAGTTTCTCAAAGTAAAATTATCACATTGTGAACGAATTATTTATGAAATTCGGTCGTAAGGTCAACGCCCACACATGACTATACAATTGGCGTGAACCGAATAACATATTTATTATTAGAATAAATTTTTATTTTTACTCGTTATTATTTAAAAATTTATAGGTAAAATTCTAGTTTCTCGTTAAGTATAGTGTTAATGATATTATTTTATTTCTATTGTAATAGTTAAATCAAAGTTTCTTTCTTGCGCTTTAGTAGTTTTTGCATTAAAGAGTTGACACGTACAATGGGCCTTGAGGCTGCTGACATTTTTTTAACATACCACGTTCACTGATATATACTAAAGTGTGGTTATAGTTGGATAATAGTATAACAATAATGAATGTAATAGTCTCCGAGAAATTGTAAGAGAGTTAAAATTATTCTTAGTTACAATTAGTTACGGTTTCAGTATACACATCATTCTGTGAATACAATACTGTCTTCATAATAATATACTGATCTGTTGTCATTATCATCAACAAGGGTGCAATGACATTTATGTGATTTGTACGCTTGCAGCAGTGTGAATGACAATATAATAAAATTATAATTGTTAAAAAATACATCATGTAAATAATTGATTTGTCGTTTTTTTCTTAGTTTGTAACCGTTCGCTAGTGCAGGGGTTGTTTTTTTCTGAAGATGGAAGTTGGTATTGTCCTGATGATTATCAAAAGCTTTTTGGAAAAAAATGTACAGTTTGTAATGATTATATAAAAGATGAACTTGTCATTGTACTAGGACAAACTTACCACCAACAGTGTTTCACTTGCTCTCATTGCAGGTATAAATATATTTCAAATTTTAATTGATAGCTTAAGCTCAAGAGTTTATATAATTAAATAAAATATTTTTGTAAATATTATAATAATAAAATTATATATAAACATTTTTAGGCAACCATGTCCAAAAGGTGATCTAGTAACATATGTAGGTAAATCAATCCTATGTTCCAAATGTAAAGAAATACCAGTGAAGCGACCAGGGTCTGCCCAATCTAGACAAACTACTAATAATGAGACTGGTATGTCTAAAATTTTAATTTATTTAAGACTATAATTATATTTGATATCATATATTATATAATATATAATATATGATATCAAATGATGTATATATATATATATATATATATATATATATATGTAAATACATATATCAATATGTTTTAGATTGTGCTGAGTGTGGTGAGGATTTAAAAAATGGTCAAGCCCTTTATGCTTTGGATAAACAATGGCACATCTATTGTTTTAAGTGCCACGCATGTTCGACTGTACTTCATGGGGAGTATATGGGAAGGTGTGTATGATCATATTGATATGCACAACAAATAAGGCAGTAACTCACTTTTTCTCACTTTTTAGGATATAAAAAGTAAAAATTATTCTGATATATAGGTTATATGTTTATCAATTTTCTTAGTAGTTTAATTCCAATTCAATCCAATTTGTTGATATTATGATGAAAGTTATTGTAAGAAGAGTAAAACTGAATTCAAATGCCTTGTAATCTCAAAATGGATATTTCTGAGTTACTGCTTTATTCATTGCGATATATTTTAATAATGTACATATTCTTTTAAAAAAGTTTATGTAATGTTAAGTGTTAAATACCAGATACTATAGCATTGACTGAAATAATAAATAATTTTCATATAAATAATAGTATAAAGTTCATTGCTACTAAACAATTTTTTTAAAAATTTCTCTAACTTTTTACAATTTACATAACAAAATCATAAGTACAAAAAAATTTATCTTTAAAAATAAAAATATTTTATAGTTTTTATAATTTATTGAATAAATTAGTCACTCATTTCTTAATAGTTTGGTTAATATAATTTATTTCTAATAAATAGTTAACTGTTCTTCTTTTTCCTCGCCTTAATCCCAACTACTTGGGGTGGGCCACCCTTTTCCTAAACTTCCACTTGACACGATCACCCACAACATTTACGTTCACATCAGCCATCTTCATATCGCATTCAATTACATCCCTCCAACTCTTTTTTGGTCTTCATCTACCTCTTCAACATTTATTTCTATAACTGTTTTTATAGCTTCCAATTCTTCTCTTCTCATAACATGACCAAACCATCCAAGTCTATTATCTCTTATCTTATCATATCTTATCCACAATTGACACTACACCTACTTCTTATATGTTTGTTCCTTATCCTATCTTTTCTAGTCGCTCCACTCTTCCATCTAAGTATTCTCATTTTTGCTACACTCATTCTCTGCTCTACTTTCTTGTCAACCGCCAAACATTTTGAACCATACATCATAGCTGGTCTCACTATAGTTTCATAGAATTTACCAATCAGCATATTCTTTTATCACATAACACACCAGATGCTTCTCTCCACTTTAACCACCCGCACTTAATCTTGTGTCTTGCATCCTCGTCTATACCCTCGCTCCTTTGCACAACTGATCCTAAATACTTAAAACTTTCCACTTCTCCTATCACGTCCTCGCTTATTGTCACTGAACTCCACATTTCACTTACCTCGTGTTCTCCTTTGTCAAACTCGTACTCTATATACTCTGTCTTACTCCTACTTATTCTTAAACCCTTTTCTTCAAGAGCTGGTCTCCACACCTCTAGCCTTTGATTAATTTCCTCCCTATTTTCTTCTATTAATACTATATCGTCGGCAAACAACATGCACCACCGCACCTCTCCTTGTATTTCTCTAGTAATTTCATCCATCACCATAGAAAATAAGTAAGGGCATAAAGCAGAACCTTGGTGCATTCCTACTTTTACCCTAAAACTTTCTGTTACTTCTACGCTTAATGCCAACACCGCCTAATATTTTCCATACTTCTACTGGCACTTCATCTGGTTTTACTGCTTTATTCTTTTTCATTGATGCCACAGTCTTCCATACCTCTTTCTCACCTTCCTTTGTTCCTAGCCTATCATACAACTCATTATACCTCTTAAACTTTGCCTTACTTACTGCACACTTAGTTTCTTTGCACAAGTTTTTATACTCTATCCAATCTTCTCTCCATTTGCTCTTCTACCATAATTTGAATTGCTTATTCTTACTATATATAATTTTTTGAACGTCCTCATCACACCACCAGGTTTCCTTGTTTCCTGGCATTCTACTTCTACTTTCACCAACAATGTCTTTGCAGTATTCTTTACACAATTAGCAAATCTATTCCACACATCATTTATGTCTCCCACAACATTTCACACCCACTCTCATTTATTGTTTTTAAAAACTCTTTCATTTTCGCCTTTCAATTTCCACCACTGTATCCTCGATTTTTCTCCTGTGTTCTTTCTGTTTTTGTATATTCTCTTCTACTACACCACAACTTTATTACCATCAGTGAATGTTGTGTTACACTCTTGCCTAGTATAACTTACAATCTTTTACTCACTTTACGTTCTCTCTCTTCCACTTAAAATAATCAATCTACCAGTTAATGTTCCAACATTCCAAGTACCTATTCTTACTTTGCATCTATCTTTTTCCCTTATACACCAGTTCAGCCTAGAGTTAAGTGGTGATGTTTCTACACCGTTGACACTACAAGCGTTGGGTAGACCTTTACACATGAGTGGTGAAATAGCTACCTCACAAGTTGTCCGGCTGGTATCAAACACTTTGTTCCTTAGGTCTTCTCTGTTTTTAACTACTTTATTTCCTCTCACTTGTTGTCCCCGTGTACATCCAAGATGAAATAATCTGCCTAAATTTTGTTCAGGATTCCTCATACTTTTTGACAAAAATTTTATGCCGGCTGTTAACCTGATGCAACTTCATTAGTCGCCTCTTACAACTGGCAGAGGAGCTGTGGAAGTATTCTTATCCCCTATCCATAGGGAGAATAAATAATTTACTGTTAAAGTTAATAAACTTTATAACATAATATAGTATTGTAAAAAAATAACATTTTTAAAAGTGGAAGAAAAATATAATTTTTATAAATCAACATCATTAAAATTGTAATCATAAATTTATAACAATTGCTTATTTTCATTATTTGAAATATAATGTAGCACAAGACTATATATGTTAAGTTCATGTTACAATGATTACAATAATTAATCTAATTAGGATAGTTTGTACTTAAATATTTAAATTTGCATTTATGACCTTATATAAATTTTATGTTTGATTTTGCTGTTCTGAAAAATTAATAACATTTATATATCAATTTTTAAAGGAAAGAGGTATATATTATTATTTTCTTAAGTGAATCCTAATTATTTTTTTCGTAATTTAAGGGATGGAGTTCCTTATTGTGAAAAAGACTATCAAAAACTTTTTGGAGTCAAATGCACATATTGTAGTAGATTTATATCTGGAAAAGTTTTACAGGTAAAAAAATTATTTTTATTACTCTTTTAGTGTATACTAAGATTTTTAAATGATAATAATACTTTGATATTATGATAATTTGTTCTTTTAATTCATTATTGATGTGAAGTACACAATTTTCGATGTTGACAGTATTAATATTAAAATATACAAGATGTCACATTATGTTAAGATTTTTTAAATCTTGTAGAAATGAGCCCCTTAACAAAACACTGTACATTTTATGATATTATTTTATATTGTAGAAATTTATAATATCAATGTTTGAAAATCATTTGAGAATCTTATTGTATACTTTTTAATAGACTTCATTGGTTTTTATTAATTAGGCTGGTGATAATCACCATTTTCATCCTACATGTGCGAGATGCGCTAAATGTGGAGATCCTTTTGGTGATGGAGAAGAAATGTATTTGCAAGGTAACATAAAATTTATCATATTTCTATTTTTTTTATTTATTACCGAGATTGAACAAAATAATTTAAAAGTATAATTTTTTTTCTTATTAAGTAATAATTAGAATCTTATGGTACATTATATTAATGTAAAATAATTTTTTATTCATAGATTTAATTAAAATTGAAATTATCTAATATTCTTTGACTAAAAATCTAGCTTTGTATTCTCTAATAATTAGGGCTAGGAAATATAAGTATTTATAAATTTTGTTAAGTTATTCTGAATGCACCATCAGCAATCACAATTATTTATTAATTAACCTATAAATTTACTAATGTTTTTTACCGAGGTTATGGTTCTGGAAGATATTTAGAGAGGTTTATCATTCATAAAACGAAAAATATTTCTATGGTACTATATAATTTTATCCCAAAGTTGCACAAACTTGGGACCCTTTAAAGTGCTTCAACACAAATTTTATAAATGCATATAATTTCTAGCCATAATAATACTAAAGAAATATATATAATTATAACTAATTTTTTATTTGTAAATATATTTTTATTATTAGTGTTGGACCTGTTTATTAATTATTAATTGTGGCCTATCAATTTTTATTAACCAAATTAAAATTGTAATCAAGGTTTTGCAAAGATTAAATTTGTTTTTTTATTCACTACTTTGTTTATATACTTTTAAATTTAAGTTTTTAATTTATTAAAAAATATTTTGTTTAAAAGTTTCAAATAGTAGTTAACATTTTCATATTTAAAATAATTTCTTAGTTTTTATTTATTAGAAATATTGTGTGCATAAATAGTATTAAAAAATTTTCTGGTTTTTAATATTTATTTTTATATTATTGTAAAAAAAAATAATAATTATTTTTAATTACTAAATTACATTGTTTAAAAATATATCATCATTTATATTTGATTGTTATTCATATAAGACCCTAGTTGTTTTTTAATATTTGTAGTTTTAAAAAATCTTCAATTAGTATTATTACCTTAATTCATATCTAGCTCGAATTTTAATTATTTAAAAGTCATTATTTACCTCATTTCAAATAAAAATTATCATAAATTATATTTATTTTATTACTATTTTTTCAGGTGGTGCAATTTGGCATCCACGTTGTGGACCAGGACCTACTGAAAATGGTACAATAATTAATGGAGGTAATATTTTAGTATTATATATACTGTTGTAAAAAGTTTGATGGTTATTTAAATATTACTTTTTAAATAAAATATTATATTTCATTACATCATAAATTTATAAAAGTCAAATTCTTTGATGTTTTTTTTTATACTTGAATAAAAGTAAATGTTTAAATGTAAAACGATACTCTCAAGTTTCTCATTGCATAAAGTATATTTTAGCTGAGTATAATGTAAATTTTATTACACTTCTATTCATCATATTATTTAGGATCAAATACCATGTTAAACGGACATTGTAATGACCCTGAAGAGTTTGACAGGATCAGTTGTTCAGCTGCCAGTGAAACACAGGTAATGTAGTGATTTGGCTTTTAGTTATTCATACACATTGGTTTATACTTAATGTAATAAAAATATTCAAGTAGCTTTTTAGAGGTATTTCTCTCTATTTATTTATTATTTTTTTCTTTTGTTATTAATTTTTAGTAGTAACTAATTTTATTGTAAATTATTTATAGTTTTTATATGTAAGATTAATTGCACATACTTTTCTATACAATTTTTTTATGAAAGTTTTATTTTCATTTTTTAATGGATGGTAGATTTTTTTTAGATGCTTTTTATCTATTAGTTTGTATGTATTTACAGTTTTCGTTGCGCTCTCGTTCACGTGCTTCCAGCTTTAATGGTTCGTGCTATAATGGCTCTTGCAGCAGTAGTATGAATAGAAAGGTTAGTAATACAATATTTGCTATTCTATTTGGTTGAATGAATAAAATGTAGTTATTTTTGTCATAATTAATTGAGTATAATTGTTGAATGGATAAATGTTATTACAGCATTATTATCGGGATATACCTGGAAGTCCTGGGTTGTTACTTAGAGAATATAAGACACCCGCTGTTCCTATAAGTCGTATTTACACTTACAGTTATCTAACAGAAGAACCCACTCAAGGATATTTAAAACGACCTATAGATCCATATGATAAACATCCTACTTCACCACATTTTCATCGTCCAACATGTAAGAATTTTATTGTAAATTTTTATTTATTTTTGTTGAATTATTATAAACTTATGGATATATTAGCATGTGGTAGTGTTCGTGGAAGTAGCAAATGTTCAACATTGCGTTCAGCTGGTAGCCGCACTGGTATGAGAGCACTAATTGATAGTATACGTTCAGAAACGCCTAGGCCTAAATCACCACATAGTATGAACAATGAAGAACCAATTGAATTAGCTCATTATCCAGCAGCTAAGCCACCAGCACCAGGTGAAAAGCCAAAAATTGAAAGAGATGATTTCCCAGCTCCTCCGTGTCCTTATACAGATCCTGGTATGTACAAAATATGATACATAGAGCTATTTCTTACAGAATCATAAAATTTTATATTGTACAATTTAGAAAAACGTAAAATTTGGTTTGATAGTTATAAGGGAATTTCAGATGATGAAGATGAGGTGGATAATATTAAAAAAGATAGGCCAGTAGATCCAAAATTAAAAGTATGTAATTGGATAATATATTTAGTTAATTCAAATTAAATTTGAGTGAGTTTTTTTAATTATTCTTTATTTTTAGAAGGAGGAAGAAGAACTTAGAAAAATGGGTTCTGGTATTGGAAAAGTTTTTTTACAAGAAGTTCGAGAACGTGAAAAACATCAAAAATGGAAAGTAGCACACATTGACCCTCGTAATGCTTCAAGGTGTCCATCTGCTGCTCGTGAACCAACTTATCGTCTTAGATATCAATCTCCTATTAATGCATGTTAGTATTATTTTTTAATTTTCCAGTATTTAATGGTTCTAAAGTTATATGTTCTATAATAGTGTAATTAAGTCAAATCTCCAATAAAAGTTTAAAAACTCAATATATAATAATGTGAATAGATTATACACAGGTTCTCCTTAATGTTAGTTTAAAAAATTACTGAACTAATAAGTTTTGAATTTTTAAATATTGAAATGTAGACATTGTACATTTAAAATAGATAATAGGATTTTTTCTATTTGATTAATTAAAAGGTTATATTCCTTAATTATTCAAAAGTTAACACAAGTGAGATATTAAGCATATTTTTATAAGTATGTTGCATAATTAAAATTAGCTCTTAATTGTATTTATATTGTGCTCAATAAAAATGTTTAAATTGAAATAAGATATATGTAGAACTATTTTGTTTTGTTCAAACAGCTCCATCTCGTAATCTAGACCACCAACGACCTTGGGAAGAGGATGGATATTTGGATTCAAGTTACAGATCATCAGTTGGACAATCTACAGGTGCCATACCTAGCTATAATAGTAAGTTTTTAATATAGTTTTAATAAAGTATTTTCATCAGTTAAAACGTGCAAAATCTAATGCTAAAAAAGTTCAATTGAAAATTATTTATTGCCTAGAATACAGTTAAAGCCGACTTTCTGACTAATCTAATAACTGAAATAATTAAAATTTTATTAAAAAAAAAAAATGTAATTTTAATCATAAAATATTTTATTATAATTAATTTTTATACAATGTTTGACAATTTAATGATTTTAAAGAAATTTGTAAAATAGTTATAGTTCCTGTTATTTAATTTATTTACCTTGTAGAATTGAAGTGATATTTTGCTAAATAATTTGCTTGTTTACTATAAATAATTAAAAAATAAACATTAAATCAACTTGAATTTTTTCTTTTTTCTTGTATACGCTCCTAACTATTTAACTTCTTAAAATTATTGTTTGTTTTTAAATTAGAATTTATATTATTTAAAGTGAATCAATACATAACTAAACTTAATTTAAATTATTTTATTATTATGCCTTATATCGAATACAAATTTCATTTATACTTTTTTTGTTGTTAAAATTTTATACACGAGGTAATTTTTTAACATTAACCATTCAATTTTTTTAAAAATAATAAAAATATAGAAAATTTTTTAAATAGACATTATAAATCCATTTTTCATTCCTTATAAGTTTATAAACTTTATTTTTTAATTGGCAATATACATATTTATCTAGTTTATTATATGACAAATAATCTAATCAAGGAATTGACTTCATTATTTTGAAAGTTATTAACATTTTCATGCCTAAAAAGGAGAAGTGCAGTTGAAAAATGTTTTTATCAGAGTTTCACCCTTAGTCTATTTTATAAGTGTAATAATTTTCAAAATTATGAGACAAAAGTTTGTATAAACCAGTATTTTTCTTTAATATAAGTTATTTAGATTTGTATAGTACTATTTAAAGAAATAAAGCTTGCATTATTATAAGGAATAAAGATTGAACATAAAAAATAATGAATAGTTAATAAATTGAGAGACATATATAAAATTAATAAAATCAGTAAAAAAATTCTTGATGTTTTTATTATTTTGTTAAAAATTGAGTGGCTAACCTTAAAAGAACCACTCTGTATATATGGCCCATTTAATCAAGGTGGCGGTATTAATGTTAGATTTGTGCCTTATATCAAGTACACACTAATTTTTTTTTTTATGTCAAAATAAATCCTTAACATTTCAATAGATTATGAAATATAAAATTATTTTTCAGCTATTGATCACTACATTGAATTACTTTTATTTGTAACTAATATTTATACTACATTATTTTTCATATTTGTAGAAATCAATTGTAAAAAAAAAACACATTACATGAGTCTTTAAGTTTGTTAAATAATTTTTAAAAAACTTAGTCTTTACTAATTAATATTTTTAGATATCAATAATATGAACAAATTTTGATTGAATAATTTTAGAAATTTATTTAGAAATCTATTTACATAATAAATTTGAACAACTAAATTATAAATCTATAATAATTAATTTGATTAAAACTTTTCAATTTTAAAATATGAAAAAATTATTCATTTTATGTAATACTGTTTCTATTAAAATATGTTAAATATTCATATTTGATTAAATTTAAAAATAATTGATATAATGTGATAAAGTCGATAATTAGAAATTCTATCAAATAACACTAAATAACACTAAATATAATTTAAAGTGATTTTTTATTTTAAAATTAGAAACAGATAATATTTTTTGTAAAAACAAATATAGTGAATTTTTATGCATTTTGACATATGGAAATTTTTGCAAATTTAATGTTTTTACTAACATACAATTAATCACAAATTTTTTTAATTGCACTGCAAAAAAATATTTTTAATACTTATAACAAAAATAATTATTTGTTAATTTTGGGTTTTTCATTAATTATAATTTAAAGAAAGTTAATAAAGCATATATTTTTTGAATATCCTAATAATTTTAGTAAAACTTGTTGAAAAAATACCTTTTAGGAATGTAAAAAAATAATATTTTAAACAATTTTTACAGAATTTCTATAAGAAGTAAAATAATTGTTTTATATTAAGATGATTATAATTTACGTATATGCTATCAAGGCCTATTTAATTGACTTTAAAAGAATTAAATTTAATTAGTGCATATTATTTATTTATGATTAAAATTTTGTTTAATATTCCATGTTAAAATACCAGCGAATTTCAATTGAAGTCTAGGTGAGATAATGTGTTATGTAACAATTCATATAATTTATAGTATTTAAGAAAAGCAAAAAATTAACTTAGCACATTATTTTCACCCAGGTTTCAACTACAATTATTTTAAGATAATTTACCTCCTTTATTTTAAAAACTAGTGCAGTTAGTGCATAGAGCTTTAAAAAACTGAAATTATATGGTTTATAAATGTTAAATCATCATTTAATTTTATTCTCTATTTGAATAGAAAATTTTTAGTTAGAAAATATTATGGCTAGACCTTCTTATTAAAATCTGTGCTCCTTTTATTCATCTGTTTTATGTTATTATACTAATCCCTAACATTTAGTAGTATTTAGTTTTTATAAGTGTGGCTTGGAATTTGTGGTTTTTTGTTGCATGGTGTGTTATTTGTTTTTGTAGCATACTATCAAGGTCAGCATGGGTCGGCTATAATGACAAGGGGCGCTCGCAAGTCGTGCACTCTTCCAGCCGGCTTCACCGGTAGCTCTGTCAATTTTATTCGGGTAAGTAATAAAAAGCTATTTTCTTTGTTCTTATGTTTACAGTTGTAAGTGCATTACGTCATGTACCCAAACCCGGCTATGGTTTGGCACCTAGCCGACGATCAAATACTTTCAGTTCAGCATATTGCATCAAAAATCCACTGGTATGATGAGTCGTATTATATCTGTGTGTTTTTCAACTTGAAAATTATTAAATTTGGATATCTTTTCATTGAAAATCAATAAATTCTTAATCAATCATTTCCAAAATGTTTTTATTTTAAAAGTTATCAGTGAATGTAAAGCTAATATTACATTTATCCTTTTAAAAAATCCTATATAAAAAATAATATATATAAATGACTGTCAAGAATTTCCTCATATATTATCATAAAGTAGTTTAATGATTATTTTATATTTTATAGGATGGTTATTCTATTAATGGCTTAGACAATAAAACACTTAGCACAGATTTTAACTGCGCTAGGTCAGAAGGTGAGTGCTTAAATAGTTTTAATAGATTTAAGTTAAAATATTACTCATGACTACTACAATGTATATAGAATTTTGAAGGTGATAGAATTAGTTATTTTTTTTTTTAGAAAATTGTTTGTATTTTTAATCTAAAATATCAAATATTATTTTATTTATAGTCCAAATATTAAGCTTATGCTATGATACAAATGCATGAAAGAAGAAGCTTAATTCCTTTAATTATATGATGTGCATAACTATTTAAACACAAAAATGTTACTATTATTTCTTTGTTTCAAAATTAATTTGTTTTAAGTAAATTATAATTTAGTGAAGGTTCAGGCTTTAAAGTTATCTTCGCATTATTATCCAACTGTATAAGGGTTTATTGAACTAGAAAATTGAAAGAAAATTAGTTGTATAAACATTTTATGGGCTTCTACAATTTTAACCTGTAAATTAAATTTTATTTATTTTTAAATAAAGAAAACTGCATAATTTTATTTTTATAATTAAACTTGCTGTTTAACTTTGAAGTTGATTTTTTATTAATAAATATTTTTTTATTAATTAATTATAAAATTAATCTCTTAACTTATATAAAAATCTGCAGTAGAAAATAAATTTAACTCAAAGATTATTCTTGTCAAAGCTGTTACGCTTATTTATAATTTATATACTGTTAATATAAATGAAAAAAAAATAGCAAAGTTCTTAATATAATGCCTAATTGATATGTAGGAAAAACAAATGCCTGCTTATACTAATCTAGCTTGTCTGTTTTGGTGCAGTTTCTGCCGGATCTATATCTGAAGTGGATCAAGGCAACATGGTATGTAAACTTTAAAAAGTGTGAAGTTTAATTGTTTTACTATGCATTAATTTTTCAAACATAATTAAGATATTCTTTGAATATTTATTAAAAAGTATTGAAAAATTTCAAATAAAATTTTTTATTAAGTTTAAGTGAAATATGTTTATTTTTATATTAAAATTTTTTTTTTTACATATTTTAATCTTTATAAATCTTTAGCTTGGTTTTATTTAAGATGTTTTAAAACTCATATTGAAAATCTTCTATTGTTTATATGATTATTCTTTATTATTATGATAATAATTTTGTGTAACATTTACCTCAATTTTTTATTTGGGCATATCCCTTATTAATAAATAAATAAACATAGTTTTTGAATTTTATCAGTATTATTATAAATTTTATATACCAATTAGATTTATTATAACTATGCTATTAAAAATTAAATTGCTTACTCTTTTATCAATTTTATATTAACTATAAAATTCCATACACTTGTAAAAAGTAAGATATATTTTTATTTTATGCAGTGCTCTGAAATACCTGCATCATCTACTTACACTGGATCTTTACGGTATGCTACTAATATTCATCGCTCATTACCAAATATGTCTTCATCACATCACAGCTCTGAACCACCAAAAATCTATCCATATCACTTATTACTCATCACAAATTATAGGCTGCCCTCTGATGTTGATAGATGTAATCTTGAAGTAAGTTACAAAGAAACGAGATTATATATAAATGTATATATTTGTATTGTTTATAAATTTTATAATTATTCTTTCAGCGTCATTTATCTCCTGCTGAATTTGAAGCCGTTTTCCAAATGTCTCCATCAGAGTTTTATCGATTTCCTCAATGGCGTCGAAATGAACTTAAGCGCCGGGCACGCTTATTTTAAAATTATATGCACTATATAGATTATATAAGCAAATGCTATAAATTCTTGATTTAAATCTTTACTCAGTGCTACGTTATGATTTGACAATTATAAATTATGACATAGATAACAATCTTTAATATACCAAATTTTTCTTTTCTTTTTCTATCATAACTTATAATTTTCTACTATAAAAGTATTTTATAACCATGCTTCTTTTATTAAAAATAAATTTTAATCAATTTATAAAGACAAACCAGTAAGTATATATTTAGTAGATTTTTAAATATTAATATTCAGTATTGTGGCTTATATTATTTTTGCCTTAAAAGCACAATTTATGATACATCAACAATTACTATAATAAATAGCTTATCAAATCTATATTGAAATTATTATTAATCAAAGAAATATTCAATAAAGATTTTGGTAGTTGAAATAAATAAATATGTTTTTAAATCTTTACAACATAATATATTTTTGAAAAAATGTATGAAGTTACTACCAACATTTTTTTTATAAAGCCGCTATCCTTTTGCCATTTTAAAAGTTAGTTGGTGCATCTCTTGCATTATAATAAAATTGTAAAAAAAAAAAAAAAAACAATGTTCCTTTGTATTAAAGGCGTTATTAAAATAATAATGTTTAAATTTATATATTATATTTTTTTAAGCAAAGTTAGCTTGTAATAATGTACGGAATTACATATATGCTAATAATTGGTGAGCAGAATTGAATTTATTAAACCATATTTAAGTTTACAGCTGATAGTAATAAAAGCTGTATTATCTTTATTGTATATTATGTCATGGTATGAGGTATAAATATTTATACAATTTTTTTTATTACACAATTGTTATAATGTTTCACCATTTATGTGCAATTTGAATATAATGTTTTCATTTTAATTCTCAATGTATACACTTATAAATTTTGATTCACAATAAAAAAATGTAAGGCATGAATGAATAAGTGTGAATGGTGCTAGTCTTTTTATCGAGTCACTGTCAAAAATTTAGAACAGATAATACTTTTTATATTTTTTATTTTTTAATTGTCTTAGTACTATTTTTAACAAAAATGTTCAGCTTGTGTATTGATTATAATTTAGTAATTTATTTAAAATTCTTTAAAACGGCTTTGATTATCACACATATGTTGTTTTATGTTGTATAATACATTTTTATTTATTATATTACCAAAGTTTTATATAAACTATAAGTCTTATGTTGATGTCCTTATAGTCTTGTAATAAACTTAGGCCGTAACCTTAAATAAATTACTCAAAGCAAATATGTTTAACTTTATAGGTATTTGACGTATTTATTAGTGATTTTTTTTTTTTTTAATACTGTTAAAATTATTTTAATTATGTGTCAGGCTTATATAACAAATAAATTAAAAATATTTAGTAGACATTGTTATTTATTTTATTTGTTAAATGTGTATTCTTGTCAGAAACAAAACTGGGTTTACAAACTTCCATCTATTCTGAATTACTTTGTTCATAAGAAAAAAAATTTCAATGTATTTTCTTAAATATATTTAAAATTACTAAATTCCTATGACTTTATTTATAATTAATACAGAAAAGTTTGTTTATAAACATTGTGAAAAAAATAATTGAATCAATTATTATAAAAAACCATCAAGTGCCATAATTAAAATAATGAGTTCAATTAAATTAATAAGTTTATATTAATGAATGTATGGAAATAGTCACATTGTTTTGAACAGTAACTCATCAAGTATTAAGGTTCAATTTTTGATTAGTTTTTGTGTAAAACAATCTATCTAATTTTATATATTTATCAATTGAATTTTAAATGTTTTTAAACACTAAAAAAAAAATTCATATGGTCACTTCTTTTCTAACCTTGAAATACTACAACTGTTTTTTTTAGAAATGCCTTGTTTTATTTAAACTAATGACTGAAAATCAATTTTTTTAAGACTGAATTAAAGACAACCCTAATAATGTTTTTAGGATTAACAGGCAACTAAAAATACTTACATATAAATATATATTTTTACAAAACAGTCTAATCATTTATTTTTAACATAAAACTATAATCTAGGCTGTAAAACTATGAATTATGTTTTGTATCAACTAAAATAACTTAAAAGTTACAAGTTCCTATAAAATCCTATATCTATAATTTTTTAATTTAAATAAAACTTTGATAAACTTGAACGTTGTGTTGATGTATAAGTGTTTAATTATTTTCCGGTGAATTACGGTTGCTATCAAGTACTTGGATAATTGAAGTTTTGCGTATAGGTTTTCTCGCCCTATTTTTTACCATACCATTCAAACTAACCGTTTGTCCGTTGGCCATTACGTACTGATTTTTTGAATAATCTATGTAACCGTGTGATTCACTGGCTTGTGCTTCTACAGTCGAACGCCCATTCACGTTAGTTTCGCTGAGTTTTTTATCGCATGGAATACCAGATTGGTACGAGTATTCGCGTTTAACTCCTTCAGGATCTATATATCCATACTTCCCACGAGTCACGCAGTCCACCCCTATAGTTTCCTCTTTGAAAGTTCCGTCATCATTTTCGAATCCCCACGTAATACTGCCGTCTGAATTATCATCTCTATATCGTCGTAAAACCTATTAACATTACAATTAATTAATTTAACAAAAGGTTTAAAAGTAGCTAATTCGGAAAATTAGTTTAAATTTGAAACTACTGAAAAGTTAATTAACAAGTTAGAAATATGATTAGTTTAATCATTTTTTTGTTTTATTTTTGACCCTAGTCAGGGGCTTAATAATGTCCTTGCATTATTATCTACATGCCAATTGCTATTTTTCTCTTTTTTTTTTTTAAAGAAATTTTCTTTTTATTACTACTAAATTAAAATAAATTTATAGCAAAGTGGATTTTACTATATCGGTTCATTTTATGTATTGACAAAAACTTTTCAAGAACCAATTATATTATTCCAATTAATTAGGTACTGTCACAGTTATCAATTATCGATAATTCCATAAGAAAATATACTCTGGACAATATTTTCTATTCAATTTAATGTCATTTTTTTATGTAATTCGTAAACATTTTAATGGTCGTTGCATTAATTTAATATAATATTACCAATAATAATTATACTCCATAATTATTATGGAGATAAAATCTAATATCCAATTACTAAGGTTCTAGCTTGATACAATGAATGAAAAAAAAAATGAAAAAATATGAATGACTAGTGTTAAAATTTACAAGTTATAAATTGGGTTAATTTAATATAGTTCTTTGATAGATTTATTTTATCAATGTATTCTATTTTAGATTGAAAATTAACAAAATATTTTTAAGCATTTATTTTTATAGTAATCGTACAAATAATGTAGACGCCTCATCATCAATCTAATAAACGGAACATATTTTGAGAATTATCAAACTTATTTTCTGTTCCTCTTAATGATAAAACAAATACATTAATTTTATAGTCTTAAATTAAACAGCAAAAAACTTTCAATTAATCTTATCTGATTTATTGATTTTCCAAGAATGCTCATTAGACCGATTTTGAATCAGATTTTTGTTTTATCATCTGGCATGGATGATATATTAATACTTTGAATAAGTATGTACTTAACAATTTATTTTCGAGATTTTTAGATTCAATATTTTTAAGCATATTTGTTACTTTTATTATCAACTATGTAAAATAAATGACATCTTAAAAACCATAAAACTTTTTAAATTAAAGTCTACTCTTTGACGTTTGCTTTCACTTTAACTAATACATACATCAGTTTCTTATTATTGTTTTCTACTCTTTTAATTTGAATCTAACCTTAGACTGACAGCTTGTTAGCTTCTGTATAGATAATATAAAGATATATCTCGAGCATATTTTTATATCCAACTATTATACTGCTCAATTTGTTTTAATGATGTGTCACGAATAAAGAAACCTGTCATTCTTTGATTGTGGTTTAATTTATTACTGTGAGAATATTATGTTACTTTCATTTAAATTAATGTATAGTATACACAACATAATATTATACTATGTCTAAATAGAAATAGCTGTGCTTGGTTTGTATAAAAAGTAACATATCGTATTGTTTATGTTATACTATCCTTAGTTATATAACTTCTTTACTTATAAATAATTCTGTTATGTATGTGAAAAAGCTTTTCTTATTCTTTGAAAATAGAATACAAGTTAATATATATAAGTTAATTTGATAACTTATTGTAAATAAATATGTTAATCATTATTATAAATAGTACTTTATGTGATTGTACTTGAGAATTAACATGTCGATTCAATACTATTTTTTTATAAGTAAACCAAAAAAGGATTGATTTAGTTGATCTATATCTTTGGATGTTTCAAGTTCATTTTCTAAATTAAATTGTTAAAAACTATACATTTCATTAAACAATTTGAGGAATTGAGAGTTGAAAAATATATTAAACGAATAAAACAATAAATCGTAATCTTACCTGTGACACGGGTTTTTTATTTCTACTTTTATCTGATTCTGTCCGTTCAATTTTTACTTTGTGAACCTTTTCCGAAACTTTAGCTGCAGCTGTTTGTTCAGCTGACTGAGGAACTTGTACCCGTTTAAAAGGTCTTTGGACGGTTTTCTTCGGGAGTTGTGGCTGTATTTGAACTGTCGGCTGTGATTGTGTTGAAAATAGAGTCTAAATAATTTAAAATGTTAACGTTTTCTCAGTAAATTACCAACATCAATTAGTAGTAATCTAAATATCAATTTATTTTAATTTAAATCAAACTATTCTAAAGAGTAATTTATCATTTCTACGCAGGAGACGGTTATTTTTCACATGAAGTTACTAATAAAAAGACTTTGTTTATATTGTTTAAAATAAAATTCTATTACATAAGTTTTACCTGTGCTCTAAATCCTGGGAATTGTGGTGGCTGTTGTTGATTTCTTTCAGGTTGCGATTGATATTGAAAAAGGGTTTGCCTGGCCGTTGGTTGGCCATTTGGCTTATCATCTTCGCTTTCTTTACTTTCGCTATTACTATTGCTGTTGCTACTTTCATCCGAGTTCGACTTGTCGTTTTCGAATGAAAATGTTGGATGTGTAGGTTGATCAATTGGAACGAATTTAGGTTCTTGACCGTCTAAACTAAAGCCGCGACCTCTGAATAAAGGAACTGCTGGTCTACGAAACGGCTGTGGTAGTGGATCTTCTGCTTCTAGATTTAATGGATTGATTATCCTACTCTGAGGTCTTAAAATTGTCGGAGTTTCAATTCGTTGCTGTGCTTGTGTTGATGCTACGAATGCGGTAATCACTACCTGTAAAATGGTATTAACTAATGATTTAATTGTTTATTAGCTACTGAACCTGACTATACGTAATTATTTTGAGTGCTAGTTAAAAGAGCATGAAAGTGTTATTTAATTATTATGTCATTCATAAGTAATATTAATAAACTTGAACGAATAAACTATGACAGTCATAAGTCTTTGAATTATTTTTAAAAAGTTAATTATACATCGGAAAAGTAAACTTTTTATGTACATTATATTTTAATTATCAGTGTAGCCGGAACGGGGGGTGGCATGGGGCAGTTGCCCCCTTGGTCAAAATACGAGGGGGCAAAAATATCTTTATGCCCCTTCAATAGAATCTGACAAAAAATAATTACAATGAATCTGGAAATTAATATAACACTATTTAGCAATTCAGATTTTACGATTAAAAAGTGATAATGAATTTATCAGTTAATGAACTTCAGTTGAATATTAAAAAACGGTAGCACAATGGAGTCGTGGCACGGTATGGACGTGGTATAGTAGGGACAAGTATAGATGATATTTGACAGTGATTAAAATCATTATCATAAGAAACGCTTCGATATAAATAATTGTTGTTAAAACTATCTTGTTTGATTTATGGTTATTACTATTTTACGTAAATTAAAAATGAAGCTTAGGCAAGGAATTAAAATTATTTTTAATGTAGGGTTTTGATATTGAATGAAGGATAGTTCAAAGGTACACCATTGTCTTCGACTAAAAAGCAATCTAGGTGCGACAATGTTACTTTAAAATATATCCTAACAATCACTCTCAAGTATTGTAATTGGAGGTTATGATACAGAACAATTATAATAATTATTAGACCGGTTGGATATATGTATGAGTTTTAGTTTTAAAAATAATGTCTATTGCATATCTACATTAATCATACTAAGCGTATACGCGTGCAAGGATTTGAAAAAAGGCAAAACTCTTCTGATGTTATTTTTATAACTTAAAAGAATAACTATCGAAATAACAATACACGAAGTCGATGACCTGTTTAATATGAATCGTTGCAGTCACATAATGCATGTTTATAATTGGGTGAGGTTTGATTGGCAGCAAGTTGTTTTACCGGAGGTTTTTTTTTATTGTTAACATTTTTAATAGAAGTCTAAATAAAAATAAGAAAAAATTTAATTCTATTTGAAACAATGGTGACACGTGCGTTACGTGATATTCTAGTCAATCAGAGTTTAGATTCCTCATTTGAATCTAAAAGCGTAAAACAAGTTGTTCCAGCAAAGTTTTTTTGGAAATGTATTTATAGTCATACATTTTTAGAGTATTCTTTGTGCTTAATACTTTTCAAATACTTTGAAATTTTAGTTTAAAGAAGTAAATAAATTTCATTTACTATATTACGACAACGTTTCCTCTTGTTCATCAACTTTAGCCGTACGACGACCTCCTCTGAGTTGGGTGGTTGGCCACGCACAAAAACGATATGGTAGGTATTAACATATACACATCTTATTGTATTTACATAGCCACAAGGCTACTGACAACTGAGTAGTTCAGAGTATTTAATTATCGTTACCCAGTTCAGTATTTTTCGGCGGTTATTATGCAATAATAATTAATTGAGTTGTTATAGAAACGATTGTCTAAACTGAACCCCGTCGAGCAAATTGTCTTAGAAAACAAATCAACTCGAGGGCCAATTTCTAATTACGAATTGGGCGTTGTAAATATTGCTCAATAGTTCATAATTTTAAATTAATCCCAATGAATATAAGTACATAATATGAAACTGTGAAGTAACTTAAATGAACTATGTGCTTAATGGTCTGGATAAGTGTCACTTACTAAAAGTGAAGTTGTGTTTGCATATGTAACTGACAATTTTGGGAAAGTTTATCAAACTTTGGATCAAAGCATATAAAAATCATATGTAAATTGTAATATTCATCGTTTAGTTTCTTTTTCACTCTCTCAAAAAAAAAAAAATTGTAACAGTTGATTATAGAATTGATGAACTATTGTACCTGTTACATATTCCAACGATGAATTTGATTCTATGAGGCCTTTCTAAGTATTACTAAATATATCCAACGCAGCTTGAAATTCAGTAAGTAATCTATTTATAAAAATTATTCACATCTTACGGTGGTATGGCTTGCTCGTCACGTTCATCACAACTATGTTTCAATCACAAAAAATAAAATAAACGGTCTTCAGACAATACCGTTGAATGCCCGTTAATTATTCCAAATCCGAGTGATTACATTTTTAGTGTTTCGAATACCAATCAATAACAATAATTGATGCATTCATCATGGCTAGCTATGCATTGTACTATTGCTTATCGATGTAGTTTTATTTTTATCAAGAAAATTGTTATACAACGCTAAGTTAATGCCAAACCGATCTCGAGATTGGCGTAACGGTTTAAGACACCCTCCTATCTACAAAATTCAAAATTCCATCCGGTCTGTCTTGTGGCGAGATCTAGTTTAACGCCAAGAATCAGTCGACCTGATAAACCAGGTAATATAAGTAATTGAAGTTATTAGGTAATATGTCAAGTTACCAATTTAATAATTATAATAATTGTCACTATTTTCAGCTTATCGGTAGAATTCCACGGTCTATTAACACAAGACTATGATCAGCTTAAGATCCAGTAACCATAACTGTAACTTTAGACAAATGGCAATGCACACAAAAACTGGCTTGGTCAATAACTCAGCTTTTATAAGTTTTTCTAAAATATTTAACTGTTTTTGATTAATAAGATCATAAAGTTTGTTTATAAAAAATCAGTCTACCCTACTAAATATTACGAAGAATGTAGTGGTGCTTAGTGATCTGTTTAAATTAAAATTATACCATGATTTTTTAATAGTTTAATTTAAAGGAATTTTGTATCAATTATTCTGTACTTTTTAATAATCTTATGATGAAAATTTTCACAATAGGCACCATTTAGTTAAATTGACTGCAATTTTTTTAATTTTTAATAAGTTTTTAATATAATTCAATACGCATTGGTGAATATGAAAATTGCTAAAACTTAATTTCAAATTTTTGCGAATCACATGTCTTTTTTTAGTTGATGATTGTTCATTTTTAATAAAAAATAAGAGCAATTCTGTTTTTTCGTCACACAGCCCTATGGTGCTTTTTATCTAGACGATAATATATCTCAATCAATACAATTATTTGTTACTTATTCATATATATACAAAGTATACTAATTTAATATATATATATATAAATACAAACATAAATGAGATTTACACTTGCGATACAGTAGTCCTTAATTTAACGATAGAAATAATAATAATTAAAATGTGTATATATAAATATCTTAAAATTACACCAAGTAATATGGCTTGATGACGCGTTTTAAATGTCTTAGGTCAATGGAATTGTCCAATAGTTTAATTGCCCCAGGTTTTCATGGTTTTCCAACTTTGTTACACAAATAATACCCATTTTTATTTTATCTTTGCATGTTGTAAGTAAAGATAAAAAATTAAAAACTATCAACAGTATTTTATACATAGCCATGGCTCAAAAAATATTATATTTAATTTAGATTACATTAAAGTCATTGAAAATGTTAAATTGGACAACGTTGTAATATATGAGTTCAGGAAGTTATCCTTGCCCATGTATAGGTACCGCGTGTCTTGTTTACTATTCGTGACCGTTTAACCGTTAAACCGCTCAATAATCAATACAGACGTCATTATAATAATATGTTATGATTAAAAATGTAATTACATATATATAATGGAGCTTTCGCCTAAAGTGATACCAAGTTAAACAACTGTTACTTGCGGTTGATACCAACAGAGTATGTGACAAAAGTGAATGTTTAGCTTTATTGGCGATGAAAAACCTATAGCAAACAAGCAGTAACATGTAATATCATTTTAACTAAGGCCAAAATTGTAGAAATACAATGAAAATATGAGGAATAATTGGAAGGTACACAAGAAATTTTGTTATTTATAACAAAATCATAAATAAATTTAAATTTAAACTTACTTCGTAAAATATTTCATTTTTATAGTTAAAAAATATTATGGTTATTATCGGGTCATTAAATAATTTAACAAATAATTATTATTTATTCCTATTTTAATTTAATTATAATGTGGATTTTTAATTGGATAAACGTGATATATTAAAACAAAATATTATTATTGATTAAAATACNTGTTTAGCTTTATTGGCGATGAAAAACCTATAGCAAACAAGCAGTAACATGTAATATCATTTTAACTAAGGCCAAAATTGTAGCAATACAATGAAAATATGAACAATAATTGAAAGGTACACGAGAAATTTTGTTATTTATAACAAAATCATAAATAAATTTCAATTTAAACTTATTTCGTAAAATATTTAATTTTTATAGTTAAAAAATATTATGGTTATTATCGGGTCATTAAATTATTTATTCCTATTGTAATTTAATTATAATGTGGATTTTTAATTGGATAAACGTGATATATTAAAACAAAATATTATTATTGATTAAAATACTATAACTATAAACACTGAATAACAGTTCAATTTTTAACATAAATGAAATAGTAAGAAAAAATTCTCAACTTCAAAAAAAAAAAGATAGAAGTACATGAAATCATATATTTTGACCTGCCTTATTCATTGCCGTTAATTGTCTTATTTTGATATTGAGGGATTTTTTCTCATATTCTGGTCCTGTCATCTGAGGGAAATTGCAAATTCGTTTCGTTTGCTTTAACAATGACAAAGTAGATGAAAATATACTCTGTGGGTGTAACGAGACATATCACGGTATCATGACGTTCAAATGTAACCCGTTTCTTTTGCAAGATGACTATGTAGTTTTTACAGTAATTGATGTTTTACGTTATAAACGTTTTTTATTCAATTGATGTTACAAGATTTGTTGTAATTTTACACTGTCAAGGTAACACGCGCATAAGGTGACTCTCAGGGTTGAAGCGAGAGAAGTAGCGCAAATAAATAACGGGAAACAAATCTTTACGCCTTCGTAGGCGCAAAGAAAAGTTAATACACGTACTAATGTATTTTGAAAATATCCATGACATGTGTTATGACCTCGGCAGGTAAAAAATGCTGTATATTCTTTAATCCTAAATGAGGTTTCAAATAGAATGATTTTGTAGTTTATCTAGAATAATAGCTTTTTTACATATAAAAAAACTAAAAACCAATCGATGTTGTATAAAAATATCGATTGGTTTTTGTGTATCAAGTTATAATTTGTTTTGATAATACCTCCCAAAGAAGAATGTTCCTTAGAATAATGAATTAGAATCGATTCGATTGCTATTTAAAAAATATATTTTCTGATCATTTATTTTAAACAAATTATACTAATATGTAATCAGTACGCAATTTTTAAATCGAAAAAATTTTTTACTTATTTGGATTATTTTTAAAACAAAATGAATATTACGAGACTTATATATTATTAGTAATATGTATTATATATAATATTAATAATTCTTATGATTAATATTGGAGTACGAGAATAACCCGAAACCAAGATATGAAATAGTTATAAAATTAAAAATTAATGTTTGAATGTAAATTTTAATACATATTGACTGTTTCACATTTGTATGCGATATTTTTGTTTATAATACCATTTAGACAGTTTTTTATTCTAATAATAATAATAATAACAATAATTCGCTAAGTTATTTTAATAATACAGGAGATTATACAAAAGTTTTATGAGAGTTTTTCGTGTTAAAAATAATCTATAGATTATTGCAGACGACTAGAATAGTCTAGTCTACCTGAATAGTAGTACACCTTATCACAGTTTATCATAAAATCAAGTACTATTTAGTACTAGTTAGATTAGTTTAGTAAAAATTGTATTGAGGACAATATTACTTGTTACATTTATTGTTGTAAACAATTATTAAAAGATTGATCAAATAAATATTTTTTCTCCTTTAAAAAAAATTAAGACTCCGAGTTTTTAACTCGTAAAATAATATTAACTAAAAACTAATTGATAATTAACTAATACTAATAATAACTAATAATTGATCGAGATTTGATAAATTTGTTAATAGAAGTGTGAAATTCGATGTATTGGTATTCAATCATTATTTTTAATATATTTAATTTTATAAATTAACAAATGAAAATTTAAAAAAAGTGTGATTGATTTTCATATTAAACAGTCTATAAGTTTTTTTTTAATTGTTTTTAAATTTGATATTTGAGTTCATGTGAATCTATCAATATCTATTTATAATAATATTTTTAATACAATAACAAATTTTATTAGTATACTTACAAACTTGACAGACCACATGATGTTTACAGCGTATAAATTGGTGATTTGACTGTAGTGCATAAATGTCAGGCACGATGAAGTAGTGTGCAAGACGAGGAATTACTGTGAAGTTGTTGGATGTATGTATATAACTAGATAATACTGTTGGACGGTCCTCCTACCTCCATTTCCAACGAATATCTTTCACTTGGTTAGTTTTCACTGTATGCGGTTGGAACAGAATAATTGTTTAAGGAGTACACTATTTCCTGATAAACTATTTTTATTTTATTTAGAAATTATATGATATAAAACGTCACCGTAGACGGATTTTTTTTTAGTTTGAGTATGAAAGAATACATTTTTGTATATTATTTGCTCTGTTAATCAGTAAACTTGAATATCAATTCACTAGATGGGGCCTCCCTTTCATAATTCTTATAATTGTGTTATAAATATTGTACTTGTCATTTTTAATTTCAAAACTAAAAATTTTAAGTATAGTATTTTTCAATAAATAAATTGTTTCTTGTATTTATAAAAAATAAATAAAAAATTATTTGATTAAATAGACTTTAAATAAAATTTATTTTTACCTCTTCCAAAAAACTTTAAAAAAATCATTTAACATAGTGAAAATTTTGAGTGAAGCAACCGCTCGCTCCTTCTCTGAAATAACTAACTATATTTATAAGTCAGTGGGTTGGATCGTTACTGGCACAATTATGATATTCTAGTTATGTTTTTTTGTCATTTGACAATAATTTTAAATGTCCTGTGGCTCTGTGCGTATTAATGAGACTAAATTATATTGCTAGGAGGTAGAGTATCTTAATGATATTTTAATCGAGTATGGATAAAATTAACTTAAGTTATTTCAAAATAGTACAATTGTTTATACATGAACATTTAGAAGTCTTTTGTAAAAAAATTTTTTATAAGTCTTATATAATATATTGATTAATTAAATGTGTATTTTGTTGTTTAAATTTAATAAATATTTAAAAATTACTAATTTTTTAATTAAAATTAATTTACTATAATAGTTATATATTGACTTTATTTATAAGTGATGTATTCAAATTATTGGTACGTATCAAAAGAAATATTGAACGACGTCAAGTGTAAATTTATTAAGTGCAGTCAGCAAAAATGAATCTTGAATCTCTTCAGCGTTCCTAATAAAATGAGTTTTAAAGCAATGTAAAAACGTGATTTATCCACAAAGTTTTCTTTAGATATTAAAAAGGTATTTAATAGAAAATACTCGAGTACTTTATTGATGTATGACGAGTGGTTTTTAAAAATTCTGAAATGCCTTTCTTACATTTTAAATACTTCAAGTTTCATCTTAAAAATGGATTAAAGATATAATACAAAAAAAAAATGTGTATGTGTTTAGCGATGATAATGGTAACATTGTTTCCGAAATACGTATCCACGACTTTTCAGTAATTTTTTGTGGCTTTTAAGTTTAATATTTTTTAGTTTTTAAATTAATTATATTTTTAATATACTTTTAATTTTATTTAATATATTCTATTGATGATCAATATGGTATAATATACAATGAAAAATAATATTTACTAAAAATTACAATTGTATTAAATATAGTTATATTATAATGACTTAATATTAAGTGTTTATTTTTAATTATAAATAATGAATTACAAACTTAAAAATTGGGTATTTTTTACTTGCCAATTGTTTTACTATCATATTTTAAATTTTCTTTACTTTTCTTTTAAACGAACAGTTAACTAGTAACTGACAACCAATTCAAGGAGGAATTTAAACAATGAAAGTAATAAATACCATTATATAATAAGTAGTTATACAAAAAAATAATTTTTATTGATTTTCTGTTTCTGTATTAATGTGATATGTATAATGTGAAGTTTTACGTTGAACACTAAAACATAGAAGTTTTATAATTCGCCAAGTTGGTAGTTACCATCTGTTATTACGACATATATTACCTGTAAATGTCTAATATTCAACAGTTGGTTAATAAATGTCGATATAAATTTGCAAAACTGACTGAAAAAGTGAGTTTAACTATATATATATACATTAGTTTACACTAAGGATATCGATTCCTTATTCATAGTTTTGTTAAGTTGGGTTCAGATGGTCAAGGTCATTCTTCATATAATTTATTTAAGAAAAAAAAAATCATTGAAAAACTAAAATTAACAAATAATTTATTGAAATTGTAGAATTCATTCATTTTTTTTTTAACTTAGATCAAACTTATTAATGTATTATGTAGAAACCATTAATTAAATTTACTTGAAAATATATTATTTATTTTTATTTATGAAAAAAAGTTTAACAGTAGCTTAGTGAAACCAAAGTCATTGTATAGCTTTGACGAACCTCGTAATTCGTCAGTTGTAGCCTTTGTACTGTCTTGTCATGTCCTCTGTTGTGGGACTAAACACCACTAACATTCAAACGATAACTCGGCACTCAAACGATGTAACCAAATGCTGTTTTTCCAAACGATTTCAACTGGCAATTAGTTCCAGGCAAATATAATATTTCAATATTATTTATTTTATTTAAATCTTAAATAATTTTTTGGTTTTCAAAATCATTTGTCTGACACATCAACTTATTATATCAATATACATATTTAATTTCTGTAATTGTCAAACATTAATACCATAAATATATACATAGTAAATTTTTATTATGACAAATCTCAAAGGGATCAAGAAAAACTTTGAGATATAGTTTTATTATAATATAAGAAAGTATAAAAAATTATTTCATGAGCAATTTAATATCAAAATATTCAATATAGAAACGTTCGTTTAAAAAAAAAAAACCTACTGAATTTATATATTAAATTTAATATTATTGAATTAAGCATTTTATTTACATATACATTGTTGTATAAATTAATTGTATTTGATTAAGATTATCACTTCTATGAATTTTAAATCAGATATATTATCAATATTGAATTAATTAATTTTATAGCGATAGAACAGTTTCCGTTTGGAAATGGTGTTCTGGTCAAAAGTTTGTAGAAGAGTCGTATTCTCCTCTAACTCATCACAAGTACATGGTTTCTAGTGTACAATTCAATGGAGAAGGAACTTTATTAGCTACTTCTTCGATGGACGGTAATATCGCTTTGTGTGATGTTGATGTAAGTTTGATTGAAATATATAATTTAGTAGTATAATTATTAAACAAAAAACAATATACTTTTCAATTTTGTTAAAGAAGTTTTTAGTAATAAGATTTTCTCTGACAGTCCATATGTCATCATTTTTGTTAGAAAATTGTTTTAAGAAATTAATTTTTTTTTATATAAAAAATATTGATGACCTTTACTTTTCTCATTTCTCATGGGTTTTAGGAGCTCTACACCAAAGCGAGTCCATTGGGATTTTTCCAATGTTTTGATAGAACAAGTCTGATTTTGATTAATATAAAAGTTGTTGTATATTTTAATCATTTAACTCCTACTGAGATATCTCTAACAAAAATAAACTTTAATAAGTGGTAGTTTTTGTGCTGTTAAACAATAATAATTATATTATAATATAATTTAATTTTAATAAAAATTCAAAACTTAATAAAATAATTGTTTGAATAAAGTCTGGAAAAGTCTTGTCTACATTAGTACATAATAGTCGTACTGGTGTTCGATCGTCATGTTTTACTTCAGACTACAAATGTATCATTTCTGCTGGCGATGATGGGACTATGTGTATTTGGGATTTATTTCGAAAATCTTTAATCAGGTAAGTGGTTTTTAATTTAGTCAGCAACAGTACTGTATTAAGGGTGGTCTCAGAGGCTTACCAAACCTTTCTTAAAACAAGTGTTATATTTCATTTTTATGGTATTTATTTTTTATTAATATTTCTTTTTAAATCATGAAACAACGACTTAAAAAACGAATGACAATTTTGTAATCTGTCGAATAAGTTAAACAAATAAACTTTTTATCGCCAACTAGAATATTATAACATCAACTTAATTTTTACCCCCATTACACAATGGAGATATTTTTTAAGTGATAAGAAAAAAATCGAAATTTATTTATATAAGTTGTGAAACTTACATTGAAATATCCTGCCTATGTTACAGATAAGATCATTTAAGGTTTTTTTGTAAATATGAACATAGTAACAAAGAAACAAGTACATAGTATTATACATATATTTTTATTGTTTTTAAATAATATGCATTCTATGTATAAATGGTTTATTAATTAAATCCAATAATTTATTTGATGACATTTTTAAAATATAAGAGACCGTTGCCACTCACTTAAGTTGTCTGGATATACACATTTGAAAATATTTATTATTATGCGTGTTTTACCATACAATATGATTTATTAAGTATACTATTACAATTTTTACGTTAAATAATGATTTTTCGTGAATGTATATAATATATATATTCACGAAAAATCATTATATATATATATATATACATGGAAATCGATTTATCACAAACCACTCAAATACTCGTAAAATAAATACACTATTAGAAAAACAATTTTTGATTTCTTTTAGTAGCATATAGTTCTTGATTTATCAGTTCTTCATTACTTTTTAGGATCTTCCCTTATAAACTCATATAGGGGTGTCAACTCAATTTTTTAATAGTAGCATACAAATTTAATTAACTTAGAAATATAGAATATTATCTAATTAAAAAAAGTCGTAATCAACTTTTTTCGATCAGTACTTAGGATGTTATTCTAATTTTTATATTAAGGAGGGACGAAGAGTACCGCTAGGAAATAACTAATGATACAAATAGTACACCCAGAGAAAAACCTCGATCTATATAATAAATTCATTGTTCAATTTCATAAATATATCATTACTATTGAACCTATAATATATTTATCAATATGATAATTTTTTTCTTGTCTTGAACAATAATTATTCATAAGAATAGTTATTTTGTTCGTATTAATAAAACATTATCATAAACCCTTGATAAAATTTCTCTATTAAAATTGATTGAGGTTTTTCTTTGGGTGTAGTACCTACTCTTCGCATACAGTTATTGCTTTAAATTGTTAATAACCTCTGTAATTATTGTCAAAAAATTGTTATCGACCAGTCATCTTAATTAAATTATTGCTTATTTTTAAGCCAATTAAATATGTATGTTGCCATTACAAAATATGAAGTTGACACGCTTTAAGTTATAAGAGATGATTCTAAAAAGTAATTAATAGCTAAAAATTAAAAAATATACTAAATTTAAAAAAACCAAACATTTTTTTTAATATTGTACTTATTTCGAGAGTAATCAAGTGTTTTTTAATAAACCGATCACTCTTTATTAGAATTTAATATATTTACAATCTATTGTCAATGTCAAGTCTATTGTACGGAAAAATTATTTCTAAGGTTAGATTTTAGAAGTTATTTTTGAAAGTTCAATGGGAACCTATTATTATTTTTTACTATTAAGTGGAGAATGGTCTAAATAATATATTGATAGATCGATATATTAATATACTAATATTTAGAGATATTAGTATTTGAAGATTTTAAAAGGCGAGTAGCGGTGTAATGTTTAGCTACTCTCCATTTTTACCATAACGAACTGATAGAAATTCTCTTACGGTGAACACTACACTATTACTGAAAATCATAATAACACAAAATGAAAAGTCAATAATAGTTATAGACCTGTCAATATTTTATTAGATCATTTTATTAGATAATAGTTTGTAAATATAATTAAATGCTAATACAAAATAATGATCGGGCTATTATAAAACACCCGATTACTCTCAAAATAAATATAATATTGAAAAAAAAAATTCTGATTAAAAGTAATTATTTAACAAAAAATGGGGGTAATATACTTAATTAATGATACTGTATATAAATAAAATAAAACGCGTAGTATATATTTATTCAAAGTGAGTTTATTTGAGTTTCGGGTGGTTGAAATAAAATTGAATATTTTGATATAAAGGCGCATCGTGTAGGCAAAACAACTACCTTTGTGTCATGCTTACAAAGTTTATGTTTTAATATATAGTTTAATAAATGATTAAGATTACTTAGTAATATTGTAACATCGTGGTGTAATTAAAAAAATACACATTTTAATTTATAAACATTTTTCATAGAGTGTGATTTTATTAATATATTTATAATCATCCTAGTAAAATACAAAAATTTGACTTATAAAAGTTCATGAGCCAAGTTTTTTTATCATGCAGTTTCATATCAAATTTAAATTTTTCTTACGGGTCTTAAATTACTTGTTTCTAACCATTATATAATATTAAAATTAAATATCTATAGTAATTATGTAGTACTTATATATAGAACGCTTTCGGGACATGAAGAAGCTGTATCAACAATTTGTTGTTCTAAAGATTCTAGAATAGTTGTAACTGGAGACACAACAGGCGTGGCTAAAATATGGTCAATTTCAGAGCTTACTGATCCGTGTGGTAAAACAGTGCCATTATATGTTATATCTGGTTGCCATGACATGGGTGTAAGCTCTGTTGACGTGTCACCAATAAACCCTATAACCAGTATGTAAATTATCTTAAGCTAATTTACATTAAAAATTTCAACTTTATAAACATTTTAGACTATCAGAGATTTTGAAAAGCTGTGTGCATTAACGAACTTTTATTTTTACAATAATATTTACAGGCTATCCTAAAGTAGTATTTTTTTTTAGATAAAGGAAAAATATACAATGTTATGTCAAGTGGTAGTGATCATTTAATAAAACATTGGCAAGTAGTTTTGTGGAAGTGTAATTCAAATTCTTATCAATGTGCTGTGAAATTTATTAAGTCACTTAAAGGTCATTCGTCAATTGTAACTGGTGTGTGCTTCAATCACGATGGGAAAATGCTCGCATCCACTTCAATGGATAAAACTATTAGATTATGGCAGGTTAGACTATAAAAATATGTTTATTTTTTTAATTATGTTTTAAATTTGTTATTTGTTATAATTAAATGATTATTTATGTAAAATAATTAAAGCTGGATGAGTCTAATAATTCGTTATGTTGTTCAGTACTTGAAGGACATAACCGGTATGTTAACACTTGCGTGTTTTCAGAAGAAAGTCTACTGTTGGCAACAGGTAAAATTAGCAAACATAAAAACTTTTTAGTTCAATTTCTAAAGAGAAATACTTTTTAAGGATCTAACGACAAATCAGTAATTATTTGGGATGTAAAGGGTGACATGGATATCTATTTTCAAATGAGCACACGAGAAGTACCGAATTTAAAATATCGATTATACTTAACTTTATGTAAATATTCAATTTTTGATTAGGAAATAGTTGGAAGTTCCATAAATGACACTAAAGCTGAAGTTTCTTTACTAAAAAGATTCAATACATTCAATAATGCAGTAAATTCCTGTGATTTCAGTATTGATAATAAAATTTTAATTGCAGCGGGAAGGTTTGTGCGTTAAATTTAACGAATAGAAAAACATTAAATTTTATATCTTTTTTAGCGATAAAATTATTAGGGTATGGAATCGTGTAAAACACGGACAATGGCAAGAAGTTGAATTTTCACCATTAAGAGCTCATCACTATTCCATACAACATATAACAATATCTATGTGCTCATTGTATATGGCATCATGTTCATTAGATGGAATAACGATTATTTGGGATTTACGTGTAATTGTATTTATTAATAGATATTAACAAAAATAAAATAGCATAGCTTATTGTTTCCTTTTATTTTAAATTTACAATTATTTTGTTTAGATGGAACCGCTATCCAACTTATATACAAAAAAGTTGGAATTGAGCTGCCATTTAGTATTACAGGGTTCGATTGAAAAGTAACCGAACTTTTGCTGTAAAAAATTGTTTATTGAATTTTTTGACAATTGCACTTGATATTCCTCGAAATATATCCCTTGTGCTTCGGTATACCGACAGTAACGGTCTTATTACTGTTTAAAGTATTCTTTGAACGTATCTTTCAGAATAGCTTTCATTCGTTGGGATGGGTAAAAGTCTTTTTCAGTTTCACGCAAAACTTGGTTGCGTCGTAATACTGTTCAATTGTTCATTATATTTTCAATATTAGGAAGAACATAATCAACTGAAAAAAACACCCTTAGTGCGAACGGTGATGTTAACACAATTGCTGTTTACAGTTCACTGATGCGAGTAGTGCCGGAAAGAGGAAAGTTTGACGCATATTGCCCCCCACTCATTATTTTTCGATACGTGGGTGCCGTGCAAAAGTTTGGTTATTTTTTAATTGCACTCTGTATTGAAAATACAATGTTTTTTAGTCCAAAACAAAAGTGGAATAAAGAAAGAAGGGCAGTTAGAAAGTCGTCTATATTATGTCATTCGAACATTCGGGGCTAGCTAGAATTTTTAAGAATTTTGGTATAACTATTATGAGTAATAATCTAAAATATTTATCATGTAGCGCTAAAGATAAACTAAAAGAAAGGGGAAAATTGTGACAAATGTTATGTAGGCTAAACAAAAAGGAACATAGGGATGAAATGTAAAAAATATTTAAGAAACATTAAAAATCAAGAAGTTGATGTTGATTAATATTTTTAATTTAATTTCGACTTTATTGAATGTTTAATAAAGAATTATTTCCATATACATTTATTTTAAATTATAAGTCTTCAAGATAATATTACATAAAAATATTATAATTTATTGTTCATTAATTTTTAATTTTAAAATTTTAATTGATCTAATTTTGACTTAATCTACTTTTAATTATTAATACGTAATTCAGTATTTGGATATAATTCCATGTACTTGTCCAACATTAATTCCACATCAACTTTTTTTTCTGAATTCCGAAATTGTCTAGCCAATAATGACAAGAGGTCTTCGGTTCCATTTATCTTCAGTCCTTCCAAAAGTAACAAAAAATTAGACATCTTCATCGGTATAAGTTTTCCATCTTGTTTTAATCTCAATAATGTATGACTAAAAATATAAAAAAAGTTAATTGGATAATTGTAACTAAAAATTATTTTTTCCTTAAGTATATTTAAGGAAATGTTTGAAAATTTGTGTATACATATATATATATATAATTATGTATATATATTTTATTGGCTCTTATTGACCTAAATCATAGAGTTACAAACCCAATGTCAACTTTTTTGCTTTTTTTCTTTGGTTTCATGACACCTAAGTAATGAATTCGTCGAAGGTAGAGAGATTGTAGATCTGTAGTCCTTCGTCGTATATTAGTATATAGCCCTACTTTTATTTGTAATTCTGGATTACTGTTTTGTAAGTTTGAAATTGCCTAAGAGTAAAATTAAAAAAATATTATTTCATTAAGGAAATATGTGATAAATTATATACATAATTTAAAATATATATATTATATTTTATTTGATAGAGTTTTCAAAATAATCCATAACTATAGTTGTATAATTTAAAAATATTTCCTTAGTTTTTGATTACTTTTTCTATTTTTTCATCGACTAACACGTGTGTCAAACTTAAAATTTTCAAAGATGATGGTTCAATAATTGCGTTTAGCATTTCCATTATATCTTCTGGAGCCAATGGGTTATTGCTTATGTCTAAATGCTCCACACTGATAGATTTTTTCATACCTTTCCCAAATATACTACCAATGTTTTTTAAACTTTAAGAAATAAAATATGTTTGAAAATAACTTTCGATATGTTACTGGAAAATATCTGTAAATACTTATTCCAACTTATATCCAATACTTTTAAATACTCTGATTTCATAAATAATAATCTAAATACGTTAGCACACTCTTTACTAGAAATGCCATTCCATTGTAATATAAAGGTTTTTAATGTTTCGTTCAAATAATTAATAGATCTTACTATGTTCGATAAATCTAAAAAATATTGTATTTATAGATGAATATTTTTTGTTATTTTATATTTGACAACCAACCTATTTTGTTATCAATATAATTGTTAGATAAATTAATTAAACGTAATTTATCGTTTATTCCTATAAAAGTGCTAATGTCTAGTCCACATCCTTTCATAAGATTATTGTGACTTAAATCCAATTCCTAATATTTTCGTATATGAAATAAAAAAAGCTTGTGATACATGAAAATTATACATACTAAAAGGTATTTATTGGCTTGTAATGCATCTAGAATAAAATGCAGTCCTTTATTACCAAGATTGTTGTAACTCATGTTTAATGTTTCTAATGATGCAATTTCTAATGTTTCACTTAGCTTTGATGCACCTTCACTGTCAATTCTCGTATAAAAGTTAGTGTATTAATGACGTGTTAAAATAGGGCTAAATGATAACTTTATTATATTTATTGGACTAGATAACATCTAAGTTCATTTACTTACTGACACCGTTGCAGTTTTAAATGTTTGATTATTTTGTTTTTGCTTATTAACTCGGCTACATAGCCACATGCAGGCTTGTTTAACACATTTTCAGATAAATTCAAACTAATAACATGGTTGTTTCCGTTTAATGCTTTCATCACTGCTTTTATATCGTTTTCACTTAAGCCACATTTCTATAAAAATAGCATGACGATGTCACAAATATAACACTAAAATTAATTGTAATGAAACCTGAACATCTAAAGTACTTGTAATGAATTGAGTTTTTAAATTGGTCCAATTGACTAAATCATATAATTTGACAATTTTTTGGTAGACTTCAAAACTTTCATTGACTTTTTTTTGGTCTAAAACTCGATTAAGTTAATAAAAAGAATTTTTGGTGATTTATGTATAAAATTTTACTGTAGACTTTTAAAAAAGCTGCTTGTTTGATGCCGCAGTCTCTCAGTTTAAGATAAGTGCCATCCGCGTAGGACGAAAATGACAGCGGCTTGCAATCATTTTCGTTGTTCCATTCATTGTCGTGTTCATCTTCAATTTCGTAAAATTCGTAATCATTTGAATTCGTTTCAAAAATATCTTCAAAAGACATTAAAACAGTTTTTTATTTTTTTAAATAAGACGTTTATTTTTTAGTTTTAGTAGACTAGGAAACGTTTTGTCGAAACTCATCGATCATTAAATAGGTTTTTATTTATAAACTTTTATTTTAATTATCATAGTTAATTGTAAATAAATAAATATATACAAAAAAAAATGACCGATGATCATTTTAAAATTTTGTTTTAAAAATATATAAGATAGATAGTTTATAAAAATTAAAACTATACTTTAACTACTTCTTTAAGTTTTATAGTATAATTTTATTTAAATTTTTTTTACACTATTTTGTAATTTTTAGATGTTTGAACAAAAAGGTGTGCTGCATGCTGATTGCGGTGGAGCAAGGTGTTGTTCATTTTCTGGTAACTCGAAACTCATCGCAGTTGCATATAATAATGAAACGATATTTGTATGGAATATAGAAACTTTACAACTAATTTCGTGAGGGTTTTAATATAATAATTAAAATTTACTAATAAGTAAAAAGTAATTAAGTAATAATAATAATAATAATAATTTATTTAACACCTTAAAGAATGCAGCGACAATATTAATACATACAGCTTTACAATAAGAACTAAATAAACATACAATTAAATTTATTACTTAAAAGCACAATAAATAATGTACTTTAACTATAGATACTATCACAAAAAAAAAAATGAGATAGGTTATTACAAGTTCTGACTAAGCGATTAATGAGTTCATTAAAACTATAATTTTGATGATGATAATTATCATTTAATCAACATTTTTCCAGGTATTAAAAGTATAGATAAGGAACTCTATTCTATTAAGAATTTCAGGATAATCAATATGGTTGTTTAATAAATCTACACCTCACATTTAGACTTCAATTCATCAACTTGTTAGGGATTCCATAATACTGAGCCATAATCCAGTATTAAATGTAATAATGCATTATATAATGTTTTAACAAAATTAACATTTGGAAATTCATAGAAATTTCGTACTATAAATCTATGTATCCAAAGCTTTTAACTGAATGTACTAAATATAAAAATTAAAGATAAGTTAGAAAAAAATATATTCTAAGGTTATTAATAACATTAAATGATTGAAAAGTCGTTTTCTTCTTCTCCCTTGCCATTATCTCAACTACTTAAGGTAGGATACCCAAATCTTAAATTTTCACTTAATACGGTCTCCCACATTATCTATATATACGCCATCAGTCCTCAAATAACCTCAAACTGTTCTTATAGATTCTAATTTTTGGTCTTCATAACATATCCAAATTGTTTAGGCCTATTATATTATTTTATCCACAATCATTACTACTCCAATGATTTTTTTTACATATTCATTACATTTCTACTGGAGAGTCTTATTATAACTGTAATTAAAACTGTGTTATAATTATACTTGTATGTTAATCATTGATGAAATTTTGGATTGTTAAGTTCTTTCAACATCATATATTCCTTCAAAAAATGCAGAAAATGTTGTTTTATATAATGTAAGCAATTTTTTCGGAAATGAAGTAAACTTAATTTAGCTTTACAATTTTTTTTCAATTTTCGTTTTGAAATAAAAAATATAATTTAAATTGTAAGATAAATAGATAAATATGACCAAGTAGTTAAGATATATTTATGATTTTTAATGAAAAATAGCATATTATTAAATAATAATATAATATTTCTTTAAACAAATAGTATTACTTTTGTCATTGTATAACTTTATTGTTTAATTTATTTGAATCTTTTAAGTAATCAATTAAATTGTTTAGAAAGCTGTCTGGGAATAATGAAGATATAACTTGCGTGACGTTTAGTCCTGATTCATATTATTTGATGGCTGGTTGTGTAGAAGGTCATTTTAGGATATGGTCAGTACATCCTCAGAAACACATAGTATCTAATTCAAGTTCACTATGCCAAGATAATGCTCACGATATCGGTATTACCACCGCACATTTTGCATACAAAAGTAAGATCACAAAATCTAAAACAATATAACATACTATTCATGTAAATATATGATATTATAGGTAAAATTACTCAAATAATTCCTAAATACTTAAGTTTCATTCTAAGTTCGATAAATATAGTTAAATTAAAAATTTTTAAATTATAATATTATAAATTTATGTTTTATACACTGATTAAATATTGTTAGATATATTATCTTAGATATAAAAATCATATTTTTATTAGTTTAAACATTTTGTACTATAACAAAACTAATTTTTTTAAAGTTTTGTCTAATGAAAGATAACTTTATTATAAAAAATTAGTTCTTTGGTTTTACAATTTATTTAAACAACTTAGAATATAAAAACAAGTAAATTAATATTATTGATAGAACATTTTAATACTTAATAAATATGATGTTCTAAGCAACTTATTATGAAATTGTTGTATATTAAATAGACCCATCAATAAAACATTCGTTATTTCTACTTACCGGTGGTAACGATGGTTTACTAAAGACGTGGAGGATGCTCAATGGTCAAGTTGATTTTAAAATGAAATTTATTGGACACGGAAGTGATATAACTTGTGCGAAATTTCCACAAAATACTACCACTTATTTTGCATCCACTTCACTTGATAAGACTGCTAGAATATGGCAAACGGTTTGTGGTAACTTTTTTTATTGTACATTACATATATTTATTTATATATAAGATTAACGGTTATGGCTCTTTTACAAATCAGGTTATTCGACAAAGTAACTTTATACAATTACAATTCATCAAAGTCAAAGAAATACATTAACCTTTAATTTTTTTAGTTACACTATGTAATAATTAAGTATAAGTTAAATAGTTGGTATTAAAATACATAATGAGGGTTTGCATTGACACTATTTAGAATACGTCTTATCGGTTCATTATGTAAATAATTAGTTTTGCTTTTTGGGGATAAAGGGTACAAAAGATCTGGAATTCATTTGAGGAACTTTAAAATTGATTGAAGGCAGAAGGTAGGACGAGTTAATTTTCCCATTAAGTAGCCTGTTCAGAAATTTTAAGTCTACATCATCTCTTTGCTCTGCAAGTGAAGTCAAATTGAGTTAATAAGCAACGGGAGTCGTGAGAATCATATTGAATACCTTATAAAAATCCAGCAAATCGTAAAAATCTTCTTGAAATTCTTTTGATTTGACAAGCATCAAATGATAAGTGAGGACTCAAAACAACATTACTATACTCAAGAATAATCTGAACCCCAATGCACAATACAGTGTTTTTAAAGATAAATTAAGTTTAGAAACATTTTTACAAAGTCGAGTATTTTAAACTCTTTGTAACACACTATTGAAATGTGAAATTTAGGGACTAGTAAACTATTAAATTTAAATTTCAGATCCACAACAATATCGTCAATACACAAAACAATATAAATTATAAGATACGATAGTGATTTTAATCACTGTAAGATATCATTATATTTCAACCAACTTTGCCACATCCCCATTTTGCTGCGACCCCACTGTGCTGGGTTTATATTGTATTATAATTAATAAAGTAAATTAATTTGAAAAGTATGTAATGACAATCGTCATTTATTAATATTTTCAAGAATGTCGTATATTTAGCTTATGTATTAATTATAAAAAAAAATCGGCACAGTGGTGGGTGGCATAGTTGGGTCAAGTTTATCTGACAATAAATAAAATCACTATCATAAAAAATGCTTCGATGGAAATCTGTGTATAGTGTTTAATTTTAAAAAATTGATGGATTATTACAAAAACTACATGATCTGCTATTTCCTTATTTATATCCTAATTACAAGTTTTATGATTTATAAGTGTAATATATGATTAATTATTTATTATAGCAATTAAATATAGTATGAAATTAATATTTAATAATTTAGTAATTTTTACGAAAAAATTATAAAGTAGTTATTACTTTTATGGCAAACATGTATAAAAGTTGAAAGTCTCAAAAAAAAATTGCTTATTATTTATAAATAAATTTACTATTCTACAGGAAAATGATACGATTTAAAAAAAAAATATTTCGCATAAAAATGGTATATATAAATAGTATTTTTCATAAAAAAATTGTATTGATCCAGATACTCTTTAATAAGTTACAACAGTATAAAGTTAAAAACCCAACACAGGGGGGTCACTGCAGAGTAGTGACGAGGTATAGTTGGTTTAAGTATAATGATATCTGACAGTGATTAAATTCAATATCATAAAAAACGCTTCGATGCAAATCTTTAGATAGTGTTTAATTTTAAAAAATTGGTGTATTATTCCAAAAGCTACAGAATCTGCTAGTTCCTTATTAATATCCTGATTAACATAAAGTATGTCAAATAAAAGGTAAAGGGTCAAATTTATAAAAAAAATATACCAATTGAAAGGTAAGGATATTATGCATCTATTTAAAAAAAAAAAAATTTATTTAGTCATTTTTGAAAATGTTATGGCAGTTTTAAGAAAAAAAAATTGAAAAAATGTCGAAAATTAGCGATTTTTAAATTTGTATTTTTTTTGGAGATTTTCTCCATTTACGGGGAACGAGGGAAATTTTTTCAATTTTTGAGGGTAATGTCTTCAACTAAATACGATTTTTGATCTTTTGACGTATCATTGAAATAAATCGGTTCAGTAAGAGCTGAGAAAAAGTAGTGATAAACCCAAAAAATACTTAAAAGTTGTGTTATTAGAATTTGATTTATAAAATGCATAATCGCGTTTTTTTAAAAATAAGATGATTTTTAGTTTCTTAAAATGTAATATAGTCTATTATCTTTAAAGCTGAAAATAAACATTTTATTTAAAATAGTAATGTTTAGTTTAATTTGTAACATAATTGTAATTTCCTGATCTCTTGTTATAAGACAAGATAACAACACTAGGTAATCAAATTTTGTAAAGCATCATTTGCGTACAAATTTAAGAACAGACATATGCAATGCATCATATAAAACATTGGTCACTGAGAAATTAAATTAAATTAACGAATATTAGAAAAATTTTTTAATAAAATTATAAAATGAATAATATTTATATTATAAATAAATTTTTAACAAATACTTGTTCAATAAAAAATTTAAAAAAATTACTTGGATTAAAGGTTATTGGTGTTATTAGTTAGATGTAAGAGGTTGATATATTGTATACACGAATATATACTATTTATAATAATAAATGATTTAATTTAAGAAAATTATTATTTTAATATTTAATTTTGTGTTATAGAAGACTGGAGAATGCCTCCATGTAATAGACCCAAAAAATGCTATACTTACTTGTTGTTCGTTTTCATCAGATAATAGAGTATTAGCTACAGGTAAATGTTAAATAAAATATTATTATTATATAAACTTGATCTTATATTTGTTAACTGTTTAATAATTAAATTATAAGTAAATAGATAACAAATTTTTATAAAAACATGACTAAAATTATATAATAGTTTTTAAACGTTTTGAGTTAAATGTGGAAATTCAAGATTATGTTGCTCAAGGGAAACGTAATTTTGATGTCTACAGTTAAATGTTTCTGAAAGTGATGAGCACAAAAAGTTGTTTAACTAGATCAGTGTAGGCTTAGCTTATTTTTGGAACTCCAGTACAATAGTGTTTAGAAATTTATTAAAAAAAAAAAAACGGTTTCCTAATAATTTTTGAAAACACAAAACATTTTATCATTTGTCCACATGAGGAAATTTGAAAGTGCTTGAAACCCCATAAACTATGAGCCCTAAATACTGAAAAATAGCTAAGAACTCCTGTTCTACATACTGACATTTAATAAGATAATTTTTGTCCTCACTTGCAATATCAACCATAAGATTTTCGGGTATTATTTTCTCTTTGAACTTTAATTAGGACCCAGACTATATAAAAGCTGTATAACTTAAAAATTTGCTTTTATAGGGTATACCCAAAATACAACTTTATAAAAATTTAAAAATCATAATATTAATTAATAAGTAAATGTTGTGATATAAAAACAATTTTTTTGTCAAAATATTTAATAAATGTTATATATCTTTTATTGTAATAACAATCTTATGATTATTTTCTAAAAAATTTGCTGGTCGACAATTTCATCAGACCTAAAACAACTTTTTAATTTTAATGGTATCCTACATAAACGAACATTTTTGAAGAGAAAAGGAATCTCCCCAATAAACTAAATTATAATAAAAAGTGTCATATTTTAATAGGTATCATTTTTTATATTGTTTTACGGTTGTATGATGTTTGTAGGATCGTTGGATAAGACATTATTTTTATGGAATTTACCAATAGAAGGCGAAGATTTCACATCTATTAGGAAGTCGGTAATTATAATATAAACCGTATGTATTTTTAAAACTGATTTTATAAAACTTTTCTTCTCTTCAGGCATCTCTAGAAAAAACTTATCAGCGTTTGGACGCTTTAACTAGTAAGCTTTTGTATTAATTGTTATTTTAAATCACTGTTGTAAACGTATATTTGGCATAAACTTGAGTGAATAATTAGTATAGACGTGCTTTAGGATTAATTAATATAACGAGTAAAACGAATAAGAAAATATAAAATAAATCGGTACCTAGTTTGAAGTTTTAATTAATTTATATGATGTCATAATCAAATTTTTGATTAAAATCTAACTAATTTTTTTTAAGATATTGAAAAACAAAATTTAGAAGTGGATATAGTAAAATTAGCTCCATCTATAGATGCACCTGAAGAGTTAATCTGTCCAATAACCCAACAGATATTCAGAGATCCGGTTATATGTTCGGGTATAAGATAAAAAAATTTATTTAGCATTAAAAAATCATTAGAGTATAATAATTTAGCAAATTATTTTATTATTGATAGATGGACATACATATGAAAGGGATGCAATAGTTTCATGGTTTCGACGTGGAAAAATCACTAGTCCACTTACTAATGAACCGTTATTGTCAAAATCAATGAAGTCAGATTCTATCATAAAAAAGTTGGTCACTTCATTTGAAAAGCAGAATCAAAGTTAAATCATTTTACCATAGCACATTAGCACATTTTTTCCCGATAATTTATGTAAACTTGTGTATTGAGATGTGCTATCATTTTATACGTGATAACTTTGTTAGATTATTTGAACAATCGCCGTTATAATATTATTTACAAGAAATATAGATAAATTTTTTTAATATTTAATGGGGAAAAGTTTTTTTTTGAAATTACGCTTATAAGAATTTATAATAATAGTTGATGTTGAACTTTTTGTTTTGATAAGTTTAATTTTTTAAACTTTATTTAGTTAATGAAATATAGAACGATGGTTCACCTATAACTGACGAAATATTATAAATATAAAACATAGTATAATTTTTTTCTTTTTAGAAGTAATAGTGTAATACGTTCTATAATTTTCAAACCAATGTTTTGTTCTATTTCCTCTCCTTCTCTCTTAAAGTTTTATTAACTCAAGTTTATTTAATAGTAACTTATATGTTTATTCAGTTTAAAATAAGAAAACGGTAGCACAGTGTGGACGTGGCGTAGCTGGGAAAAGTATAGATGACATCTGACAGTGATTAAAACGCTATCATAAGAAACGGTTCGATGTAAATCTATAAATAGTATTTCATTTTAAAAAATTTGTGATTATTCAAAAAGCAAAATGAACTTTTATTTTCTTATTGATATCCTGATTACAAGTTTTATAATTAATACGTGTAATATATGAATAAATATTTATTATTGCTATGGAATATATTATGATATTGTTATTTAGTATTATAATTTTTACTGAGAAATGATAAAAAATTATAAAGTACTTATTACTTTTATGGCAAATGTGTATAAAAGTTAAAGGGCTTGATGCAATACTTTTCAAAAAAAAAAATTGATTGTTACTTATAAATAAATTTACTGGTCTACAAGGAATTTGCATCAGAGATCAAAATATACTTTTCTAAACCCATTGTTGCACCAATTTCAAAGAATTAAAAATGCCATTTTAAAGTTCCGCACGAACAGTCCGATAGTGCGTACGCATTTTACTTCGCTCTCGAGTTATGTTCAATACTATCGCTCTGCTCCAAACGGGAAAATCTGTATTCCATACCGATCGACGAGTATTGTGCTCCACATTTTAACAATTTTTTTTAAGACTTAATTTTCAAAAATTATGTAAAGTAATATTTCTAATATTACTTTACATAATTTTTGCGTAACTACTGTACACCACTACTCACGAGAGTAGTCGCATGCTATGACCTTTGGACATTAGATTACTTACAGCGACAACTAGTTATCCCAAACCACCTCCGGTCCCATATCGCCATTTAAAATTGTACAAAACCAGATAGTTAACAACAAAAAAAATTACAACTTAATTTATGACAACAAACATCCATTTAAAAATAATATATTCTATATATTATTATTTTATATCTGCTTAACATAAATATCATTTGTGTTTATTGTAATTAAATTTATTACAGATTGTACGGATTCCAAATAAAAAAAAAAACCCAGCACAGGGGGGTCGCGGCACAGTGGTGACGTGGCATAGTTGGATCAAGTATAATGATATCTGACAGTGATTAAAATCACTATCAAAAAAAAACGCTTCGATGCAAATCTTTAGATAGTGTTTAATTTTAAAAAATTGGTGGATTATTCCAAAAGCTTCATAAACTGCTAGTTCCTTATTAATATCCTGATTAAGACAAAGTATGTCGAATAAAAAAGAGATTATTAGAAAATAGTATTTCCCATAAAAAAATTATATTGATCAATACACTTTTCAATAAGTTATAGCATTATAATGTTAAAAATGTAAAAAATAAAATTGAGAATTTTCACACAATAATAGCATTTGGTAGCCATTTTCACCTTGAAGATAAAATAAAGTCCGAAATTTTTTTTTTCCATGATAAAGTATATTACATTAGCTTTAATTTAAGATATATATAAAAGTGTCAGACCTTCCGGAACATTTTCAAAATTTAAGTTAAAAAAATTAATTTTTTGTGAAAAAGTTGTCATTTTAAATCCCCCCTTGTGGGCAGGTTAAGGGTTAAATTTATGAAAAAAATATACCAAATGAAAGGTAATGATATTATGCATCTATATAAAAAAAAATTTATTTAGTTATTTTTGAAAAAGTTATGGCACTTTTAAGTAAAAAAAATTGAAAAAATTTCGAAAATTAGCGATTTTTAAATTTGTAATTTTTTTGGAGGTTTCCCCCTTTTACGGGGAACGAGGGAATTTTTTTCAATTTTTAAGGGTAATGTCTTCGACTAGATACGATTTGTGATCTTTTGACGT